TTGTCTCCCACAATAAGAGGCGATGGAGAAGAGCACATTTCCTGCTGACATCACATTTTTGACTGTATGTGCTCATTCAGCATGAAGAAACAGCGTCCTCTAGTGGCACTGTGACCGCCAACGCCACACTCTTACCATTATCAAACTTTTAGTCTCCCCTGATTATATGTTCATACTCATACATGTCTAATGTATGAGTAAATAAGAAAGAAAAACAGACGTCAAAAAAGAAAGAACTGGAGCATGAAGGGTACATGAGTCAAGACAGTCTTTGCAATACAAAGAAATTCTGTTGGTGACAAACAGCCCAGCAGCAATGTGCAAGATAAAAATAAAATTGAATATATAAAAAATATACAACCAGCAGATTAAAGACAAGATAAAGCAACACACAATATAAACAAAATATACAAGAATAGTAGTTCTTGCACAGAGTGACCATATTGCAGCATTACATATTAATAAGCCCAGTATCGTCATTATTGGCGAGCCAGTACTTCAAACAAGGTTAAGTTAAATAAAGGTCATAATGCTAAATTAAAGCTGATGTATGACTTAGTAACACGTGTGTTCATACAGCTGTGACGATTCTATTCATAAAAATAATGTGAATATGTAAAGCTGTGTTAAACAGGAGCAGACCCTTTAGTTCCTGGGACTAAAAGTTTCAGGTACTTTTGGTGAAAATGTGGTTTTAGTTTGAAGTCATGTCTATAGAAGCCCTAAGCCGACATGCATCAATACATTTTATGTAACTCAATTTTCACGTGATGATAAACACATTTCTGTTATTTTCTTTGAGAGCTCAACTTATTTATCTCTTATCTCAGGATAACAGCGTTGGTTTTCCAGTCATAAAGTTTGTATTTCAGCCATTTTCTTGATACCTCGAGAAATGACCTTTTCGTCACAGGGAAAAACGCAGCTTTGTTTTCCAGAGAAAACAAGATAATAAAGTTGAGAGCTGAAGAATTTTATCAACATTTATTATCACAAACAACACAGATGTCAAGCCGTTATTAAAAATAACTTATGTACAATTTGCTTTATGCCTGAAAGTTCCTCAGTGAAATAAAATATTGTTGTCCTGTTGGTTGGGATAGAAGTTTATTTAAAGCAGAGGTAGAGGTTATATTTAGAGAAACCTAAATAAACATTTTAGAGGATTTGATGTTGTTATATTTGAACTCCTAGTTGCAACAATTCATCAAATCGAGTTGGTGACAGAGTCTCTGTTTGTCAACAGGCAGGGCTGGAAAGTGCTTGGGGCCCCAGACCATTAGGGGCCCCCTGAGGGCTTACAAACTTAAACCAAAGTGTACAACTCTTGCTACGACATTAGGAAACCTCCCTAAGGAGGCCCCATCTAACAGCACTCACTCTCGTTGCCCTGCTAAGTGTTGCCCTTCATTATTGCTGTGAAAAACCAAAGTTTGTCAATGAAAATCAACAAAGGAAAATGAAGAAGAATTCTTCATATGTAGTGAAGAAAAAAAGAAAGAGGAAGAAAGAGGAAGAGTAGAAGGTGTCGGGACATGTGTCGTGTTGATTTGTGCCTAGGGCCCCAACAGACTGTGATGGTTTGTGATGGCAGTATGAAGTACTCTCATGGTCTTAAAACAATGATGTGATTGGAGATGTGACTTTTGCACCTGTACAGAAAAGACACAGAGAAAGGAGAGAAGCAGCTTTCTGCCACATGATGCATAAAGGGGGTGTAAATAGTATATAATACATCTCCACATACTGAATAAACAACCATCTGTGTAACTGTAACAAGAGAAACTCTGATTGCTGATATGAGGATCTTAATCCCTCATAAGTATTGACATTTGTACCCTTTTCAAGTTATCAGTTCATATTAATTATAATTATGTTGAATTTATGGAGTTTAGATTTGTGTATGCTGTGCCTGAAGTTACGAGCAAATCTTATATTGTTTGAAATAATTTACTCACCTTACATTACACAGACGGTCTAAAGTGGCCTCACAGATCCGTTGTGTTTGTCTCTGAAATGAGGACATTTATGAATCCTTCCTCAGATGCATGTAATGACTCAGCTGCCTGCTTTCATTTAAATAAGCAAAACAGTTTGTACAAAACTGCTGACATCAAAACAGCTCAGATCGTAGTAAAGACATAGTTCTGAGCATTCGTTATTCAAAGTTTAGTGTTAACACTTTATTGACTGTTTTAACAATTGATTGTATTTTTTACTATTTATTTAAAATATTTAAATAGTTTGTGGGGGCGCTGGTGGCGCAGTGGTTAGTGTGCGCACCCCATGTATGGAGGATGTAGTCTTCCAAACGGGCCAGGTTCAAATCCAGCCTGTGGCTCCCTTCACGCATGTCATTACTCTCTCTCTCTCTCTCTCTCTCTCTCTCTCTCTCTCTCCCTGATTTACAACTCTATCCACTGTCCTATCTCTCCATTAAAGGCACAAAAAGCCAAAAAAATAGATCTTTAAAAAAACATATAATTAGTTTGTGAAAACAACGAATAGATGGATGTAACCATCATCTCTGTAAAGTGAGCTGATATTGAGGAGGAGAGTAAGGATTATATTCAACTCAGGCAACTGGTTTTACAACCTAATTCAGTTCTATCAACTCACCACAAGATGGCACCAAAAAGCCAGAAATGTGTCTCCTCTGTGGAGCCTTTCAAAACGTCAGTCTTGTTAAATATCAGAGTATCAAAGGAGTGCTGTTACAGGTGTGAAGTAGATTTGTTCAAAGTGTTTAGCTTCATAAATTATGTGACGTATTCATAATTCATGTTTTTCTTATGTTCACCTCTGTGTCACTCTTTGCTTCACCTTCCTGCAGGAGGAAAAACACAGTTCTTTATGTTCTTCTTTGGACAAGACCATCCAACATTTAAACTAAATAATATTATTCATACCATATAAACATGAGGACTGTTGATGTCGGCATATTGTTCTGAATTGTCATGTGAATGGGAGAGGCTGCTGCAGAATCTGCTGCAGTCAGTGATGTGGGACAGCTGCAGCATTTAGAAAGGAATGTCAAAGGCACAGTATTTTAGCACGTTTATATTGTTAAACTGAATAGATGTTTGAGTATTAAAGGAGAGAGGGTGGGGGGGGATGTCTTCAGTTTGCACTTCTCTTCTTCCTCCTTTTCCGACATATCAATCAAAAGCTCAGCGTCCAACAACTCTGTCTGTATCATACTTTACACTGAGTGTAATTATGTATTTTCTCTCTTTTTTTATGTTTACATTTTGTCATTTGTTACATGTTCGGAATAAAAATTAAAATCAAATCAAATGATATCTTTTTATTTAACTATTAAGACAACCATTTTCAAGTATTCCTTTAATGAGAGGAGTTTGTTTGTTTTAGGTGTTGGATGTAGACATACGTTGAGTGAATGTGAAGGTGGATGCTGCTCAGAGTATTTATATCAGTGTGAGGCAGAAAGATTCATCTACATTTTGTATATAACAAATGTGAAGAACTTTATGACAAGACTGGAGCTCAGTTCTAAAGCTAAATCACTTTCATGCCCTCAAAACATTTTTTATTTAATTTTTCAATCATCTGTACACGTGTCATCTGTCTTCCTGGTTGTTCAAGGCTCTACCTGAGAGTCTTTAAAATGAGTGTAATCACTTTAGCAAGAAGCTTGTCTACCTGAATTATATTTCAATACAGAGCATTATGGAAACAAGAAACAATCATTTATTTCAGGCTCTTGTATACTGATGAATGTTGAGAAGTCAACCTGAACTCTGTCTCAAGTTCACGTTTCAGCAAAGCAAACTACAACCCTTTAGGACACCTTTTATTTATTCTTTAACTCACTGAATTTCCAATAAATGTGGTTTATTGGAATTATTGGAAAATGATCCTGTCTCATAATTTCACAGTGAATCTTTGGGTAGGACTCAGCTCTGACAGGGTTTCATCCGTGGATCCACCATTCAGGACTCTGAACCTCATGATGCTCCTGATAGGCAGTGTCTTATCCACTACTACACCAAAGCACTACCTTAGTGCAGTCTGTAGACATTACTAATATGCTCATTCAATGTAGGATTTGTCAATGCATTTATAAATATTTCCAACATGTACTGACTCCTCTAAAGCAGGAAATGGCTGCACAGAAATCAAAGTGTAGCAAGTCTACAAGTAGATCCCACACTCAGTGATTTTAAACCAGAATGTTTAGTTTGGAAGACACAACAAATCATCAACAGGGACATGAATGTCTGGTTTTACAGATTATTGTATTACATGTCATCCTTACTGTGTGTGATGGAAAATCCAAATTATTTTGTTTGCCTTCTGACTTCTTCAGTTCTTAATGCAATTAATGACAAACCTCTCAGCATGTAGGAAAAAATAAGAGTCCCTTAATGGTTAAAAAAACACAAAAAACTCTTCATCAAAAGTTTGCTTTATGTGCAGGAAGATGAAATCCAGCACTTAAACCCATGATTCCAGTTCTGTGAAGCAGTTCCTAAAAGAAAGCTAGAAAATGTGTGTGATGATTTGACCCCTCGTGGGCTCTGAAGTCCTCTTCTCCAACAGTAATGTGTGTATGTATTGTATTTCTCTGGAGGCCTTTTGTCCTTTCCGGAAGAAGAACAAGAACTGTAAGCCAACAAAACTAAGTTCATATCTTTATAATGTCTATAATACTCACAGCTGTTTGCTGAAGTGTTGAAAAACATGTCTGAACATGTGGATTTTATCAAAAAAAAAGAAAAAACAGCAGCAAGTGGAGTGAACAAATGTACCTAGTCCCACCACAGGGGGGCAGCACAAGCCTGAGATAGGTACTTTAAGATACATTTCACAAATAACTGGTGTGATGTAAATGTAAAAAGCATGTTTTGTGTATCGTTCGGCTTTCTGTGTGTGTGTGTGCACCAGTTTAAATGAAGTCTTGTTTAACCTGTGAAAAAGTTTTGAGAAGGAAAATAATTCAGAATAAAGGGAGACCACTCTGTTCCAAAAAGCCATCATCTTCTTCCACACAGTCTTTTATTTGTAAATAATAAAAATGAACTCTTGAATATAAAACATACACATCAGTAGAGCCACATCTGTTATACAAACAAGAACTGTTGCAGTGAATACTTAGTCTTTCATCTAAAATTGTGGTTTGGGAGTGGGGAGCCATGGGCTGTAAACAATCAGTATTCCTGGAGTAATACTGACAAAGGAAAGGGCAGTCGGCCACACCGCCAAGGGTTTCAACAGAAACATCCGCAAAATATGTCTGCAAAAATTAGATTTCTTATTGGCTTCAGAAGTCCAGTCCAAACCAATATCATCGTAAACATGGGTGAGGGGATTTAAGGAGAAGAAAGTCAACTTTGTTCCAATTGGTTCTACTTGTTTTCTGCAATCAGGACAAAAATAAAGGCCTATTAGCGCCCCCTTGTGGCTCAGGGCCGCTCAGCGGCTCGAGCACATCCACAGGACGTAAATTCCCTTCTACGAGACCAGGAATGTTAGTGTGTCAGCAATGTTTTTGTTTGTTCTTAACGTAATTCAAGCCTCTCTTCCTGGTTTGTATGTACAAGGTGTACATGTGTGTGTGTGTGTGTGTGTGTGTGTGTGTGTGTGTGTGTGTGTCGGTGACCGGTGTACAGTCAGATACACTCTTTTTATATTCATATATCTATATCTTTATAATTTCTGTCAAACTCATAATGATACTTCATATACATTGAGCTGTTATACACACATTCTCTATCTCTGTCTCTAGCCCCGACTGTGTTAAACTACAGTTTAGACACCTACACCCGCAGATACGCCAGGGGCTCGAGTATGCTCAGTACTACAGAACAGCACTGTTATTTAAGGGTTCAAGAAAAACGGAAACAAAGAGTTTTTTCTTTTTCCGGAGACTTCCTAATATGTATATTTAGACCCAGAGTGATAGGCGTGGCCTGGGTAGAGTTGTCCCCCCCTATTGGTCCGCTCCTGTTAGGGGGCGGGGATGGCTTGGCTTTTCTCTGTTTGTATTCATATTCAGTACGAGCAAACTGTACAAGAACATGCAACATACAAGCTGGCCTAAAAGTATGTGGAACTAACACACATAGTCTAGTCTTTTTTTCTGTTTATGTTTTTTTGAGAATTGTTCGTTAATTTGTCTCGTCTTCTATTTTACAAAAAAGTAGAGAACAAAACAAAAAACGAAACAAACAGAACAAAAAGAAACGTGCATGCAGCTTGGGGGCCGATCCGGGGCGTCCCCGAGTCATGCTGCTCCCTCCTACTGGGGGAGTTAGAGGTCAAGAAGGGGGAGGAGACAAAGAATGGGGATGAGGGTTGGGTTAAGGATGTTCGGGCGAATCTGACCGGACCTTTACGGTCGGTCTTTGGCGCAACATCGCTCGAAAAACCAAACACACACATACACAGAGGGAGTCCGCACCATATGGTACCATTCTGAAACCTGGGCAAAACAAAGACAGACAAAAAAACAGCAAATGAAATAAAAGCAAATCGTCATTGGCCTCTATTATCTCTCCTCTTTCTTAAGACAAAGAGCAACACTTTGTTTGCCTCTGCCAACAAGCCAAGCTTCTCTTGTGCTTGCTTTCATTAATCACAACAAGGCTAAGAATGTGCACGAGCATGTGCAGTCTCACTTTCACCGAGAGGTTATCGAACCATACCAAACCGCGCCAAACCACTGCCACTCATACTCAGTTATGACAGTGTTACCGTGGTTACACTCTAGAGACATCAGATAACTTTAAAGTCGTGGTACAGCTGAGGGCAGCTTCCATCCATGCAACCGACTAACTCACACATTGTTATCACTACTCATCCCTGTGTTCTAGAAGTAAGCTTTGCTCTGATTGGCTGGAGGGCTACTGGGCGGAGGGCTCCACATTGAACAGGTGCTCTAAAAGGGGCTGCACAGGGATGTCAGGAGAAAAGAAAGACAGGAAAGCAGTAAAGAGACGTGGAGAATGATGGACAGAAAAAGTCTCCTGTTGCAGGTGAGAGAAGAAAACAAAGAAAGCAAAGTTTGAAACTGAAAAGGTGTACAGAGGAGGAAGAGGGAAGGTGTGAGACATGATTGTCAGACTCCAGCTAAGCTTTGATTGGCTAGTTCTGTCTCTCCCTCTCTCTCTTTCTCTCTTGCATTCCCTGTCGCTCCGTCTGGCTTTTCATTTGTTGACCGAAGGCTTCTTGTTGTCGTCCTCAGGACGTGATCTCGCCCTCTGCTCAGTTCTGGTCCAGTAGCTGTGGTCCATTGTTTTGTCAGTTAAGGGTTATTTGGGGTGGGGGTTGTGGTCGCCATTCGGTCACTAGGACCGAACGCCCGGTGGTGGTCCTGAGCTGTCCAGTGACGTCTGAGACGCCAGCCGCGTGAGCGGAGCTAATGTAGGGTCCACCAATGAGGATGGTGGAAACAGTTTGTACCAGCCAATCACCGTGCTCGAGAGGTCCAGGTCCTCCAATAGAATCTGTGCTACACCCATAAAACATTTGTGGTCCAATCGTCCATAATCGCCCCAAACTATCACCTGCAGGAGAGAATAGAAGAGGTGAGTTTAGCAAGAAAGCTTTTTAATTGCATAACTTCAGTCGCAGAAAAGCTTCTAGACTTCAACTTCAAACAAACCTGACTCAGGACTTTAGAGCACAACTCAAAGCTAAGTTTACCCTCTACAGCCAGGAAAATGTTCATAAAATAATCAATGCACAACTGTGTAAGAGTCCAAGGTGAGTCTCCAGCTTTACTAGACAAGTCCAGGTCAGCTCTCAATTCACTACAGACAGTTCCAGTCAGTGTTAGTTATGTAAGCAATGTGACAAGTTGTTTGAAACAACCCAGCTTGGGTCTGGGTAAACAAATCATGACTAAATTCTTTGAAACAAATAATAAGCATGTAGCACGCACGCACACACACACAGAAGATTTACCTGAAGCACCTTGCCCTGGGGACTCTCCTCAAAGAGCAGGTGCTGCTGGTAAAGCGGCTCCAGGGTCTTTCGTGCAATCTTGGTTTTCTTTTTGGCTTTACAGGATCCATTATCCAGCAGGTACACCTTGACATAGGGGGCTGAATACAGTGGGAGGGGTTAGGAAGTTAAAGATGGATGTAAAGAGCAAAAGGAGAAAAGGGATGGAGAAACCTTGTCTTATTGTGCATGTGTTTGAGTTGGAGACCTTCTGTATTGAAGTGTTGAGAATGTATGTGTGTTACCTGGGAGGGATTTGGAGCCTGGTTTTTGAGTAAGGCCGCGTGCCCTGATCACCTCCACCTCCAGCTGGCCTTTCTTGTCCATCAAACCGATCTGAACATCGCCTGTGTGTAGAGAAACACACATCTTCTATTATACATTTTATTTGCAGTTTCATTTTTGAACTCTTGGGAATATGAAGTGGATTTGATGGTGACGGAGGCGTGACTCACCCATTGCAGGTGTTGCTAGTGTTTGCCTGCCAACCAGTTGACCGGGGCCTAAACCATCCAGGAAGTCACTGAACTGACTGTCAGCACCTAACCGCATACCTGAGAAGATCAAACTGACACACACACACACATTCACACAATTATTCCACAGTTACTCTCTTTTGTTTTGTGAAATCTTGTCTACTACACTACACAATATGAACCTTAAACAATCTGATTTTTCTAGTTGAATAGAAATGAAGAGGTTAAGGGAACCCGAAATTACTACATTTATAAAAAGTGGAAATTCAAGCCTTGTTTGATGGGACAGGACAGCAAGTTTAAAAATGTGTCAAGAATCTAAATACTGTGATGAAGACAGCACTGACAGGTTTGTTTTTTTCCCACCTAGTGCAAATTAGCATCTATTTACAATGAGGGAAACCTCAGAGTCCTTTCGAGAATAAATAAAGGTTTGAAATTAAATTAAATTTACAAAGGAGTATTAGGGCCACGTTAAAGGGATTTTGTTTTGTTGATTTTGTGATTTAAGTCATAAATATACGAGAATGAAGTCATTTTTTCAGTCTACATTTATAGGCTATCAGAAGAGCAGCAGCCGCCTGTACGTAAATGAGGAACGTGGAGCAGTTATACTTTAGTAAAGGTTTCACAAATATGGAAATAACTTCCTTGTGTTGTCTGAGACACAGACTGACTGAGTATGAACTCTCTGTGGAATCACCGGCTTTCAAACAGTTTGACAAGATCTTAAAATATCTGATTAGTTGTGTTGGGGCTTAACGTGTGCAGATATGAAACTACACATGGTTTTGGCACATCAGCATCACATTGTCATAAAATATCAGGACCCTGAAAACATACTGCAAGAAAGTGGAGCTTTTCCAAAGAAAAAAAACACAGAGGAAATGTGTGTCTTTTGTGTCAGAGGAAAAGCTTTAAGGGTTCTCCATTAATCTTTTTTGCACAGGCAAGTGGCTGCTCTTCTGATACAACCTTTCAGAATAATGAATTTGACCATATCCTAATTTAAATTGTTCAACCAATTTAAGCCTAACCCCCGTAAATCAACAACTTTATTCTCGTAAAATTATGACTTCAAACTCTAAATCTTCGGAAAAAAATATTTAATGTGGCCCTAATACTCGTATATAGTCATATCTGTTGGCATCTTTGCATTGACTTCTTTGTCATTTGGCTGCACATAGAGTTTGCTTTGCTTTTGGTCTGATACTCCGTTATAGCATTTTGAAACCAGCCTGTTTGTAAAGACAAATAATTCCAACTTGTGAATAACTTGTAATGGTACCAAAAGAGAGCTAAGAAAACCACTACATGTGTTCTCTCTTCTCATGTAGATCTGTTCTTAGGTGTGTACGTACTTCCCCTCAGAGCTGTAGCTGTTCATACTGCCGTCAGTGGACTCTCTGCTGGCCTGTCGGTTCATGCCTGACCCTCCCCTCGGATACTCCACGGCCATGCCCGTCTCCACGCTCCGCTGGATGCTGCTGCTGCCGCCCTTACTCCCCTTCTTTCTTGTCGTTGTCTCTGTAGGGAACACAGGAGAGGAAATTAACAACAGTTAGACCAAGGCTAGTCTTTTAGTTCCTAAGGACTTGTGGGAGCCGGACTGACACAGAAAAATAAAAGACTAGTCCCTTAGTAATGATTAAAAGTCTTTACCGGGACGTTTTTTTTGTGTGTCCACAAAACACAAGCCTGATCATCATGAGGTTTATTAATATGCACGCCATCCCATGCAAATCTATAATCCAGGGTGACCTCATCAACATCTAAAAGCAAGATTTCTATTCAACATAAATACAAATACATTTTCTGTCAGATTCCAAAAGGTTTTTGGAAGTAAGACACAAAAATAGGAACTAGGGAGGAGTTTAATGTGATGAGGTCACTGCAGGAGGGTGACTATGCGTCAATCTATCTACAACAATCTGCAATGTTGAGCAGAAATGTAAAGAAAATGTAAAAAGAAAAATCCAAAGGGAAAAGTCGGAGGATTGAAGAAAACATAAAGTGTGCTTACAAGAGGAGTTCAGAACTTGTTAAAAGCCGGCTGTTTAATCTTACACACGTTGTGTTTGGTTAGATTAATGACTCACAGATGACGTCAGATTTAGTTCCTTGTTGTCAAAAACAAAAAAAAAAGATTTATTTCATGGCTTTTTGCCTTTTTTTGACAGGACGGTGGATAGAGAAGGAAAGCAGGAAGAGAGAGAGTGACATGCAGGAAAGGAGCCACAGGTCGGACTTGAACCTGGTCCGCCTGCTCTGAGCCTCTGTACACGGGGCGCGACCTAAAGTAGTGAAACTGTATATGTAGATCCAGCATGCATGCATGTTTGACTCAGCCAGGCTTTTATCTAGAACTGAAGCTTTTACAAAGGAGACAGAAGAAGGAGGAGTGAGGAAGCGTGCCGGAGACAGAGCTCGGGAGGCAGGAGGTGCAGGATTGTCTAACAGGGCTATCACTCCTCTCTGTAGCTGCCTTTCTAACTTAGATTGATCTTTTTTTTTTCTTTCATATGTCTCATATATCGTTCTGTGTATTGTGATGATTTATTAACAAAAAAAAATCAGTTATTTTGAACAGTTCCTTCATAAGATCTCTTCATATATACAGTAGATCTAAGTCACTCTTTCATTATTGCATATAGCGTTTGATTGCTCCAGTAGATTTCAACAGACAGCAGCAGTAAAACAGTATTAATCACTGCAACATAATCCTCAGTCACAAACGTGCTTGATGAGAATATTCCCTCTTAAAATGTTTGTTGTTGTTTTTTCACACTTACAAGCCTAAATAGTTTCTTAGTGTAAACCATTACAGAAATGATCCTTGCAGGGAGAGGCTTCTTTGGTGAAGAGGAAGCCTCTCTCTCTCTTTCGTTGCAGTTAGAGCCACTGAACTCCACTAACTAAACGTGTAATTTGACCATACAGAACACGGGAGCTGCTGGTCTGCTGCTACCCTGACTGCTTTGGTTTGTTTGTATCATTCAGGGACGATGCCAGGATTTATTTTCCTCCCGGTGCTGAGGGGGAGATTTACTGATATGTTGGGGTGCTTTGAATAGTCGATTTTCATGAATTCATTGTTACTTTTTAAGTTCTCTCTTTTTTTTTTTTCAAATAAAAGCAGACATACGTGATAAAAGCTTAGCTAGACAGATTTGTGATGGGGCTATAGCGCCTCCTAGCCCCTGTGCGGCGCCGTGCTTGGGGTCATTGCATTCTATGTGCACTGAATTGTATCTGTGTAATACTGTAGTTTCAGATCTAATACAACACTTCATAACATAAAAAAACGGACCAATCGAAGCAGCAGTAGAAAAACAGCTCCAGTGTTGTGTAACTTTTTTTTGTCTACTGAATCTGATAACTGATGACTAAGCAAAATGGTTAACTGTAGTTAAAAAAAGCATCTTAGTCTCTGAAGAGATAATTTCTGTCATGTTTCAGACACAAATGAATGAACATAAGAATATCTATACATATAAACAAAATGGTGCTCGGCCTCTGTGCCCTTCCTGTCAGCTCCTGTGTCAGATCAGACTCTCAGCTGTTAGTTTGCACTTTAGTGACGTTGTTTCCTCCTCTCGAGATCCTGACTTGTGTTGTACTCCTCCCTGATGTATGTTGCTTTGAAGAAAAGCTTCTGCTAAATGAATTGTAGAAGAATAGATATCTGAATCTGTCAGTTTTAAGACAACCACTCTTGGTGTAAATACTTAATTTGCTAACATGTACCCCCAAGCTTTACCGCATGTTGCAGTGATCAAGCCCATTATGTGTCTGTTGACTGGAGCAATAAACGTGACTCATTCTACATTATTTTATACCTTTTAGTTATTCTGAAGTGAATACAAAGTCAAACAACAATTTAAATACACAACGCTTAGTTGATCATGTATTCACGATGTGCCTTCATGGTGTCTTTGAGTCTTTCTGAGCAGCACCTGAACTTAAAGGGACACTTCACCCATCTGCATTAATCTTTGGATCATTAGAAACCTGGTAGTATTTTTGAATGGCCGTGCATCCCTCCCTCATTTTCCCGAGATGGGAAATCTTTGTATTTCTGAGTCTGTAAAGGAGCTTCCAGTGACGCAAAATGACGATTTTTGCATCACTGGAAGCTGTTGCGGTTAGCAGGGTGAAACTACAACGCTAGTTCCTCATATTTTAGACCACTGAAGCTACAGACCAATCACAGATCAGTGGGTGGGAACTCACTCCCAGAATCGAAAATTTACATCCGCCATATCGCTTGGAATGCTATGCTAACAGACTCTATGGAGAAAGCTGATAAGAACTAACAATGGCGAAAAAAGTTTGTTTCAATTTCAAAGTGATAATGGATGAAGGGGATTTTGAAGGTCTTGTGCTCAATCGGATGTTCGTGGCTATCTCTACAAACCGCAATATAGCGGCGAGGCAGCTGCTACCGACAGGCGGGTGTTATGCCTCGGCGCCCGAAGCCAGTGGCGGTGAGGACGAGGAGCCCGGGCCGGCTCGAGCCGGGGCGGACTGGTAGTGTCGGTGCTCTCACTGTTTGCTATGGACACAGACATAGAGTCTGTTTTCTGACAGGAATTTCCAAGATGTCAATTCCTTCTGGAAGAAATCTCAGAATCATTTGAGGAAACGATCTTATGTGTTGTAGTAAATGTCTTCTTCAGTGGGAGTGGCCTGCGGAGATGTGCATTCTGGGATTTGGTGTCTTTCATCAACATGAGCCAAAAAGACACTTTCTGCCTTTTCTTGGTCAAGAAGGCACCAACTTCAAAATGTATTTCACATTTCTACATATATGACCCAATGTCAATACAGATTCATGTTTCAACGGGTGAAGTATCCCTTTAAGTGGCAGTTTACATCTCTTACTGTCCTGAAGTGTCTATCTGCCTGACTTTAAACTACCTGACTGTCTGTCTGTCTATCTGTCTGTGTGTGTGTGTGTGTGTGTGTGTGTGTGTCTATCTGTATGTCTGTCTGTCTGTCTGTGTGTCTGTCTCTCTCACTATTGGTTTACCTTTCTGTCTGTTCGCCGCCTTACCCGCCGCCTCTGAAATAACACACACAACAACAACACCAATAAACAACAACATCAAAAACAACAACACAGGATACACAACACCTATACTAAAACATGAGAACAGTTTGTTTGTACATGGATATCATTTAACATCAAATCCATAAAGAAATGCACACATGAAGCATTCAACATTTGTTTGGCTCATTTGACCACACAACATCAAACGGACTAGTTGACATTAGAGGAAGCCAATCTTCTTGGCAGAAGCAAATGGTATTTACAGTAATTACACAAATGTCTTATTTAACTGTGGTGCACACAGCAGACTAAAAGGCATTTAGTGATGTAGGTAAGAAGGCTTTATCTGTGTGAAGTGTTTCTCTCTCTCTCTCTCTCTCTCTCTGTGGATTAGTGAGATGATTTAGATTTCTTTGACCGCTCTCTGACCTGTCTGGCTGAGTTGCGAGGTACTCCGGCTGCGTCTGGATGGAAGAATGGCTACAACACGTTGGCTGAGGCTCGAGCGACGCTTCTTGATCCCGCTTCCCAGGCTACCGAGGGCCGTGTCCGATTGGCTACCGTCGGCGTGCTCCATGCCGTAGATCTCACCGCTCACGCTGGTACTCTTCATCATGTGGCGGCCTGATGCACGCATGGCCCTGCTGTCGTTACATATCAGGGGAACAAATAATCACTTTGAGTGAAAATGGATTAACAACAGACAAAAAGAGCCTGTGGGGGTGTTTGGGTACCTGAAGCGTCCCCGGGGTCTCTCTGACTGGATGGACATGTAGCTGGTGCTACTGATGCGAGAGGCACTGCTGGTACGAGAGATGGCTGACACGTCGCTGACATCACTGTCTGAGGACTTATGGGAAACATTTTCACTGCTCCGCCTGCGCTCCTTGTCGAGCTGCAGGAACCAAACAAAAACAAATGTTGCCATTTAGATATAAGTGCTAGATACAAAGAACATGCACCAGGAACAAATCAACCAATAATCAACCTTCAGGAGAGGTTCTAAGGATAACCTATAAAGATTGCTATTAACAATAGATCTAAGAATCTATTATTATACGTTTACATAATTTAGTCAAAACTGAACCAGCGTAGAAACAAGGCCTTTTTGTTGTCATGGTTTCATTTCGTCACATGATGATTTCTACACATCCAAAACTGAAGAAGAATTTTAAGTTACATTTGACCGTTGATCTCACCATGCTTGCACTACTCACCGCTACACTATTGTCTTATTTAGTCATGTACATCTTTTCTTATTTTGTGTTTATTGTTGTATTTAACTGTTTAGAGCACAGTTCACTAAAGTCAAATTCCTTGTGTAAAGCTGATTCTGATTCTGATGTGTTACTTTGTAGTGTTGTCATAATATCATCTTTTTAAACTTCAAATATGATTCCAGTAAAAGTCATATGACGTTGATAACGATTTTGATGCCATGGCAACAACAATCTAAGTCAGAATATTGAGTAAGTTCTTGTTTTTAAAGATGTATTGTTGGGCTTTTGATGCCTTTACTGTATAGACAGGACAGTGGAAAGAGTTAGAAATCAGGGACAGAGAGAGAGTAGGGAATGAGGGAATGACATGCGGGAAAGGAGCCACAGGTCCAATGTGAACCCGGGCCGCCCGCTTTGAGGACCACAGCCTCCGTACATGGGGACCGCTCCTAAATGCCAGCCACTAGCACCCTGTTCCTGTTTTTTAACACCAAAGAAATGCAGGCAAACGTCTAGAAATTGTTCAAAAACATTGGCAAAGTATTAGTGCAGTTTACAAAGTGTTACCTCTTCTGCTCGCTGCAGCTTTTCATTAAAAATCAGCTTTTCATTCAAAATCTGACTGATGATCTTTAGGCTTTATCTTCTTTAAAGCTTCAGTATTTTTTCAATACTAACAGAGTTTTTATCATTCTAAAAAACACCATATCCAAAAGTATAAAACATTTTGACAACTTACTTTCTATGTGTTTCCATCCATATCACTGCACCTCTTCTGATTTGTGGATATGTAAGCCAGTATGTATGTTTGTGCTGATGATAACTTAGCATGCGTCCAGATGAGGGACAGTGTAATACATCACACAGACAGCAGTGACACTATGCATACAGAAAAGTTTAACCACCTGCAAACAGGCGTGTGAAAGTCAGGAAAGCCCCATTTATGTGTCACTCCTTCTGTAAGTAAGGGATTTAATGGCAGCCTGTTTGAATTTATAAACACTTCTCCATTTGACTTGGAACCAACTCATTTTATTGAGTGGTCTTCCCCATTACCGTAACATAATTTACTACTTCCTTAGACAGTAAAGAGAATTCACTGCGATGCACTTCAGCAACATTATGGCACCTGCTCTCTGGCTGTAAGTGTTACCCCCCCCCCCCCCCCATGCTCCTGATGACACTAAATGAAGCCAGTAACAAATAGTGGTGGCCCACCTCCCGTTTGTTCTTGAGGGCTCGGTCCAGGTCCTGTTGGCTGGAGGTGGAGGCAGCTGACACCCGGTTGGAATGAACCCTCATCTGGAGCTGACGAACACACTCCTCTGCTACCAGGGCACACACACACACACACACACACACACACACACACACACACGCAAACGCACACGCGCGCACACACGCGCACACACACACACACAAACAAACAATCACAAATAAAAATAAAAAAAAGCTGAAAAAACTCCCGCTTCATCAGAAACTGTTACTGCTGAGATCATATTGTGTCGAGGAGGAGGTGACAAATTCAGGTGGATATCAGAGAGAAAAAGCCTCAGCACCTAGGACACATACAGTCCTGAATAAATTCCTGAATACTGAATTTCACCTGAAAGAAGAGACATTTTAAAAAGTCACATTTTTGTCTGCAATAGAACGAAGGTCCTAAGGTTCACCAGTGAGAAACTTCAGGAAATACCTCGAACATAAGCATTTTTAGCAGCAGCAGAGCTACTGAAGTTATCTACTCAGGATCCAGCCCAACTTTTAAAGCCAGTGGATTTGGATGAAGGAGACTAGAACTAGTTGGGGGCCTAAACAAATTTATGAGTAAACCATGTATATCCTTTTCTTCCTTCTTTCCTTCTGTCCTCTTTCTTTTAACTTTTTCTTCTCTATTCCCTCATCCAAGTGAGAGACTAGGGGGGAAGGGGCGTAAAGCCTAATCTGGTGGGGGTGACCTCCAGACTACAGACTATCTGTTTTTTGCTTATCCCTCGGGTAATGTTGGAGTAGTAGTGTTTTTGTTTGGCCTTTTTACATCAAGAAGATATCACAAGGATGTTTTGTTAAAGGTGGCAATGCTGTCTGGGTTATGGAGTCCACTAAAAGCCATGTGGTGATATATGTAACTTATCAGTAAGGTGAAAACATGGGAATAAATATGTGTGTGTCTCTGAGAACACATCTTTTGAATTAGGGCAAAAGTTTCTCATGCTCATTTGGAAAAAAAAATACAATTGAGTACTGGGGATAGACATACAGAACAAATAGTGAGAAGAAAGAATTTCAACATGACAGGTTAACTTTTAAATTAAGGATCTTAACCTGGCTGAGGGATGGGATTTAAATTACTCATTACACATTACACAAGCAGCAGTCTAAAATGTGCAGGTTTTGCAATGACGGTAGGAAACCTCCCTAAGGGGTTCCCATCTGACAGAACTCACTCTCGGTGACTTTTGATTTGATTTCGTTTCGACAATTGATTTTTGCCCTAACAGACTCGACAACTGCCACTGACCTGGATGTTAAAAAATGTCCATCATCTTCATCCTGGTATAATAAACACATTATAAAAATATCTACATTTAAAAAATGCCATCTGGCCCATTTCAACTGAAGAGAAGATTTCTTGAACCAGTACTTGTTTTCTGGCCCTAAAAAAAAAGCATTAGCTTTCTAAAGACATTTGTACAGTACAGCACACACACCTGCACACATGCACGTAAAGTGATGAAAATGTACCTTGTTCTGCGGTGCTGCTCTGAGGGGGAAGCTGAGGGAGTTGTCGTACTCTGCGGGCTGAGGAGGAGGTCACTGAGGAGGAAAGAGACGAACCACCTTGGAGGTGGCCCCTAACACAGAGTAAAGGGACAGAGAAGAAAAGATACGGAGGTAGAGAGAGATGAGGAAAGAGTTGAAGAAGAACAAACATGACGTAAGGATGGGGAAAAAAAGAGAAAATTAAAGTCAAAATAGTTTTAATCCTTCATTTAAACTGCAGCTCCGGTCACTCACTGGAGTTCACATTCCCACAGCCTAAGTATTTGAAACTCACCTGAAGGAAATCAAAAGCTATACACAGTCACATAAATAAGTTTTTTTTTATCTTAAGAGTTGCACCTTTGAAGTGACAGACTGTGGCTTAAGTATAAAGTGACATAAGTTAAATGAAAAAAACAACAACTCAGGAGCAGTAATATTTCAGTGAACGATCAGTGTCAGCAACATGTTCTCAGAGTGAAGCAATGTGAAGCTTGTTCAGGGGTTGACAGTGAGGGATCCTGTGGCAGAAAAAAAGCAGCAAATAAACATTTAGATGGTGGAAGATCAGATAGTGAAGGTGAAAGCCTTCAAACTTAAATCCCACTGCACCTAACCCACAAAGAAGAGGGTTATTCCTCCAACCAGTGTTTTCTTAAAATGCAAAATTAGTTTTAATTCCAACTGACTTCGAGCATGATCCAAAGGCAACTGGACTGGTTGAAGATCTTGAAGACATTTCAAGCACGGGAGCTTCAACCTATCCAGTTGCCTATGATCAAGCTTTCGAATTGACCATAAAACTGGATGACTTAGAACCTACTCACCCACTCATTCCAAGTGACACAAACTATGTCAAATCAAACTAGTTGTGTTTTCTGCTGTGCTGCTTTATCCTAAAAAAACAGGCAGTAATAGATACAAAAGATGTCCACTTCAAGTGTTGTTTTGGCCACTAACACATTCAGATAGTTATTCTAAGTGTTTGACAGCATCATAAAAAGGGTCCATGGAGAACTATTGCATAAGGAGCTATCGTTGCAGTGAACACATTTTTTAAATATCCTTATACTGCCCTCTTCAAAAGCACCAGACTCCTTTGATGAAAACAGTCATTTAACCGTGTAGGACACAGGAATCCCTGGTTAGATTATTGGTTAGTGTGTTTTGCTGATCTATGAATTTGGTGATTTTACATTAGGGCCCGACCGATATGGGATTTTTTGGGGGCCGATACCAATTTTAGGGAGAATCTTCAACGTTAATGGCTAGATAAATCGATGGATAGATATAGATATAAAACACCCTCGAATTCTGTTATAAAAAACTTCTCAAGAAGATGTACAATGAAAACAAGATTTATTTTACAGTTGAACAAAAGCTTTTTATTGCCAGAATAAAAAGAGTATGCAGAAGCACTAATTTAATTTTGATATGATCAATTATAAATACAATCTAAATAAAAATAAATAATACACATTAAGTTGAATAAACATAGTTATATCAAATTTGCTGAAACCTATTGTCATATAATATATGGCCAATTTATCAGTCAGGCTCTAAATTTCATGATTATTTCGATCATTCACAGTGTTTGTGTAACACACAGTCTGGTGCTTTGAAGGGAGTGCTTCAAAAAAAAAAAAGGTAAGGGGGCCCAGGTAAAAGAATCAAAAGACCTATCATTATGAAAGAATGGATGTGTTTTACAAATAATCCTGCAAACACTTTATTTCGGATGTTGCTTTATGAAACAGACCAAACTACATAAATGGGCTTCTTACACATACCATAAAACACAACAATGACACATCTGCTTGGATATTACAACTGTTAAATAATGAACTTTGAGTTTTCACACATGTACGATAAATGCACAAACATAGGAGAGCAGCAGCAGCGTCAGGGTCAGTGAATTGGGAAAGACGCGGTCACAGAAACACATAAACAGGAAAGATAATGACGGAGTGTGAGAGCAGCCCTGACTTTATCCTTTCTACAACAGTATCTACAGAACCTCAAAGGGATACACCTCTGAGTCAGAGGACATTCATTCAAGGGGGCGTCCCCTTACCGAGGGGCCGCAGCGGGGCCTTCTTTCCTCTGGAGCCCCTTAAGATGGAAGTAGGTTTAATACTGGTGCACACACACACACACACACACACACACACACACACACACACACACACACACACACACACACACACACACAAATGTGCACACAAATCACATAAGTGCCATACAAACCCAAAGCCCAGCAACACAGTGCGTGAGACAGCGGCATGCAAGAAGAAAGATGGGGTCGTGGAAAAATGAAACAGAGAAAAAGCAACAGAATAAAAATAAACAAAAGCTCATCAAAAATGTGTCGAATTGAAAACTAGCAAAACATCTAACTTTGACATACTGGTAGGCCATGTTTGGGGCTCACCACTAAAGGTACACACAGCTCTGTGAATTTCACTGCCTTTTCCATGAATTGCATCTGGATGATTGCCAGTTCCAGTTCTACTTAAGGCTGAACAGTGCCCAGTGTTATGACCAGTTAGTTAGGATAAGTGCTATGATTTCTCAGATGAACACCAACCATGCCGGCTGTGGAGCGCCTGTCCGTTGACCTCCTGTGAGTGGCACTTTCGCTTATCTAGCAAGTCACATACGTGGTCGCTCTGCAAGTCATAACCTACCCTACAACAGTTGGTGTCCATCTTGAATATGCCTGAATTCTAAGAAAAATAGAGGGGGAAAAATATACTTCATGTGCAAACACCTTAAATGATTCTGCAATGAAACTTGCCTATAACGCAATGGCATAATTTATTTTTTCTTGTTTTTTCTGTAAACCTAAAGAAGGTTATGAAAGGCATATATTCTTAATGTTATCTAATAAAGTGCACTAAAAATGTTATTTTTGGTATTATTTCTAATAAGAATGAGTTGACACCTTTTCCCATAAGAGCTCATGAAGAAAGGGACAGTCATACTACATATTAGCATCATGTGTTCCACGTGAGGCTGAAACTCTCCTAACACAGTACCATTGCCTTCACACTCTCTTCAAGATGGTCCAATGTGGGGAAATCTTAATCCCATCTCACTGCGGACTGAGAGTATTTCAAAGATAGTAGCTTCCTCCAATCTGATGAATTGATTTAAAAAGCTACCAGCAGTAGTCAGTTTAAAGAAAAGAGGCCAAAGCTGGATGAGAAATTGCGAGCCCCTCCATCAATGAGCTCATACAATCCTTCTTGACGTGCCTTACCTGTTACTGTTAGATAGCTTCCTGCCATGAGTCTGACATTCAGGTGTTTCCAGGGTCCGAGGCTGCCTGGAGAATGGTGGATGAGCAAAGGGAACAATACAAAACAGAAAAAAAGGTTGGATGGATGGATGGATGAGAGGATGGAAGAGAGTATGATGGAGGGACATCATTTAGATTTAGAAGAGTCTGTCAGGCGGCTGTCAGTGGCCTTATAAGTTTATGATCTGGAAAACAGGAAATAGGAGGCATGCTGTGATAGATGGTATGATGGGGATATGAATAAGGGGTGTCACACACTCATGCTTCATCTGTAACTCTGTGTGTGTGTGTGTGTGTGTGTGTGTGTGTGTGTGTGTGTGTGTGTGTGTGTGTGTGTGTGTGTGTGTGTGTGTGTGTGTGTGTGTGTGTGTGTGTTTGTGTCTACCTCTTTGTACTGAGGTGAATTAAAGTCTCTTGAGTAGGAAGCAGCATCCATATTCTCCATTCATGGACATGAAGATGACAAGGATGATACATGTACGACACACACACACACACACACACACACACACCAGCACACAGTCACACTTCTGATATGAATTATGGACATCGTGAACTCTCAGTCATTTCTGAGCACTAAGCCTTGAGAAAGAAGGACTTTTTTTTAGAGACTGTGAAGAAAATGCGAGCACATAGAAGCTGCAGATGCAAATCCCAGAACAGAAAGTACGCTAGGAAAGACTGCAGGAAGCAACTCAACAAGGCAGGAGGTCACACCATAACCAGAACAAACTACCAGATGTTTAGAAGAGCACAAACCAGGCACCAGAAAACCGTGAAGGAAGAATAGAAAAGCAAAAAGGAGTCACAACTACAGCAACGACAAACCACAACCAGGGATGAAAACTATCACTACATCTCTTGGCAACAGACTGGAAACCAGAATAACACCACCATCACAAGCTGAAAAAAACGATACAAAGGCAACCCTTTACACAATGGGAGTGAAAAAGCTTCATACAGTGTAGAACTTGTCTTTGCCTGTGAGACACTTTCATTTGACAAATTCTACATTGTGCATTATTTTCACTGTCACTGTGTCCAGCTCATTGCAGTTATAAACAAAAGGCTAAAGGTCAAAAAGTGACGAGAGTAGTTTGTCACTTTATCTTGTATTTGTTGAAATTAGCTGAAACCCTACAGGTTCAACTGCAACTATTGTTGATTTCAAGACGGTAAACATTTAAATTAAAAACAAATTAAAAGTATTATTTTGAAATTTTCCGAAACAGCATTTTTTTTTTTAAGTCTCATAAGAGTAGATCTTTTATATGTGTCTGCCTAGGTTGAGTATGCCCTGGCATTAACAGTTAGCCTGGTCACATTCCTTGGGATAAAATATGCCTAAAGCTAACTGAAAATCTCAGTAATTCACCTGTAACATCTGTTTAAAACTCCCATAAACCTTAAAACAGATGTTACAGGTTTGATGAAAGGTTCTTGAAATGACATTCACATATAAGCCAGACTGTGGCACCATAAAAACATTTCTGTGCTTTGTAGTTATTCTTAGTAATATTATAAAGGTTGTCTTTTGTAGAACAAAACATTTAGATCAAATGTTGTTAAATCTCTTGGTGTATACTGATTTAGGGATCTTAGGAAACCATTTTAATTTTTAATGGAATGCTTAACAAAGGAAGGAAGTGGAAGAAGATCGGCCCGCACATTTGCTCAAATGCCACAAAAATGTTTCATTCATTACAACTTTTCGACCAGAGGTCTTCATCAGGTGATCAGTTTTGGAAACTTTGGCATTTGATCAAGTGTGCGGGCCTAACTTCTTCCACAGTCTGCTGAATTTGCACTGCCCTGCACCTATGTGATGTGCGTTTAACTACCTCCTTTTTCTGTGATTTCATATTTAACATAAAATAAAACTTTTTCATTCAAATCTTGAAACCTTCCCACACCGTTTCTTTAAAGGTTGTTACAATTTGGAAGAAAGGTCAAACTTTTCCAGTGTGCTAATATGACTTACAGTTTGGATATAATACAAGATAAAGTCACTCACTACACTTAAGTCTGAAGAGAAAGAGCTGAAAGAATTTAGGTTGTAAATTCACCAACTGCTAATATCAGGACTCAGCGAAGAGAGAAGCATTAGCTGTAAAATGAGGAAGAGCTTGACATTTGCCTTAACCCAATAAGACCCAACTGAACCTGAACGTCTTCGGTCAATTTTTAAAGAATGTGTTTATTATAATAGAAAACCAGCTGACATATTGGGTGGTTATTTGCCTTGTAAACACGCCTTTCTCCTTTTATATAACTTAAACACTTCCGGGTTTGGGTCATAGTTGCATCAGATTTGAAGGCAGTAGTCAAGCTCTAAGAGGAAGCGGTTGGGGGTCCACCAAAGGGTACCTGTCATCTTCAGGGGAAGCATGTTGGATAAGAATCCTGGGACTTGCAGGACGTCTCCGGGGCAGGGAATGGGACAAAGGTTTTCTACGTGTACACATACAAAACAAATCACCCATACAGTATGACCACATCTAAAAGACATTTCAGAATTAGAAATGCCATGGCATCATTGGGTATGCACGTACACTTCATAAAGTTGAGTTGGTAAAACTGTTAGCACAAGTGTGCTCATCTACACGTCCAGCAGACTGCTGACAACAGCTTTCATTAGCAGTTGTTGTTTTTGGTTCCAATGAATAATGGCCCACTGTCGCACCATCTTGGTTTTGATAGAGCCAGAGGTTACTGTACAAAACCATACAAAAGGATGTAGGAAATGCCAGATGTCACTATCACCAGGTTAGTTTGCAAGTCGCACTTACACAACTGACTGTAAGTGATTGACTAACTCTGATTTTACTTGGGATGCTAATTGTGGCTCGTTAAATTTGAGTATTTTTATAGTTTTTTTTCTTGAAGTGGAACCATAAATTACAAAAGGAACATCATACCGTCTTATGGAAGACATGAAACTATCAATGGGGACCATTAACTCTTTACCAAATTGCTTACTGAGGTGATACAGCAAGTAATAGGTGGCTTTTTATTCATCTGCTTCTATACAATTGGACATATTTTGGTACCAGTGGTGTGACACCAGCTGGGAATAGAAAGCATGCAGGTTTGAGGAAGAGTTCACACTGTGGCTTCCAATTCTTATATACAATCTAAGACTTTAACCTTTGTTTTAGTAAAAAGCAGTTAACACTTTATGGCCAGTATGGACAAAGGGATTATTTTTAGCCTCAAGTATTTAAAAAAACTATAAAACATTTAAAGGCAGAGTCAGTAGCTTTTTCCTAAAAAATAAAACATAGACTTAAACAAAAGCATTTCCGATCAATCACCACTTATGGGCCTCCACACATATGTGGTGGTGACTGTGTCTGCAGAGACCCTGTCCTCTGCCTGGGTTTAGAGAAGAGTCTGTCATAGCTGCCGAATATGACGGACTGAATGTGGCGCCAAAGTAGAGAAAATATAACCATAGTGAGCAAAACACTTAGTAGACAAAGCTTGTTCCAAAACAGGGGTGGACTTTGGGTTGGCTTTCACCTCGGACTCAGAGTTGGCCTGCTTTTTGTTGGACAGGCAGGTGCTAAACACCTGGGGTTAGCTTGTGCTAACGTGTTGTAGCTTGCAGTGTCGGTAGAAGCTGTAAACGTACACACATGTCCTGGAGTAAGTGGGGACAATGAGTCCGGGAAGAGGGGCCCAGTTTGAATATTATATTTACAAGCTGCAATGAAACATGCTACTGACTTCACCTTTAAGGTATTCCTCATGGTATTTTTATTACATTGAATGTGACGGTTGATCAAGAAAGCAGCAATGGCATCAGAAATCTCTTCAGATGAGGCCTGATAGCTTGTCCTGCACAAATACAGGTAACTGTGAACTGATAATAACGAGACGTAAGATTGGACTATTTGAAGCTAAGCAAGATGAACTGATAAGGTCATTTATTTTTAGATATAAAGATTGAGATAAGGGGATATTGGATAAGGAGAAGAGCACCATTTCTGTTGTCAGGGTGCTAATCTCTCTTGCATACACTCATACTTAGATGGGTTGATGAAGGTGTAGATAGCAATACTTCATTTCTGTTACATTTCATAAAATGTTTTGAGAATCAAAGTATTGCTCATGGATGATACACTGGTGTTGGTGTTAGAAAATGTTGCACCTTCATACACAACTTGAAGATTGTGGTAAAACAAGGAAGCCGCTAAGTGGAACAGCAGATAGACAGGTTTGAGTGGTGTACAGCGCTGGGGTGTGGGTAGAGAGAGGAGAGGGGAAGCTTAACCTTCAGCAAGTGGAAAGAACTACAAAGACCAGGAAAGGTAGAGAGTAAGAGACTACTTGAGCACTACAGGAGGGGTGGCAGGGGACAGAGGCTGGTACCTTTCAGTCTCTGGTGAGGGGGCATGATTGTCTGGGGTCAGACAGTTGGTGCTAGCGCTCCTAACCCTGTCCAGAGAAGGCTGCAGATCACTAGAGGCACCACAGCACAACATGCCATCCAATGGAGGAGAAGACAGGAGGAGAGGACAGAAACAAACAAAAAGAGAAAAACAATGGACAAATGTTTTAAAAGAAAGTCGAGTTTGATTCTCCAAATCATAACGCTAGTCTGAAAATTAAACCATGACTGGCTGACTGGCGGAAGGATGGGAGTGTCTGTAGGTTGTCATGGAGATGAGAAATGGTGGAGACAACTTTTTCTGATTGCTCTCTGATTGTTTCCCCAGAGTGGGCATAGATAAAGCTCATATTTTCCTTCATTAGGACTTAAACAATCTGAACATCTGTTATGAGTAAGCCTTACCTAACTGTCACCTCATCTGTGAACATTACAACGCGATGTGTGATGGAGGAGCGCGTTGCCATGACCATGTGCGATCCAACAGTAGAGCTTATCTTTCGACATGCAGACAGCTTGGAACTAGTCAAAAGATGGGAAAAAAACAGCATGCATTTTGCAAATAAAACAAAATAAAGAGATGAAAGCTGCGTCACTGAAGCTCCTTTAGGAAATACTCACACAAAAAGAAGTTTGAAGGGTTATGGAGATTTAATCTTTGTGTGTCTGCTACTATAAAAATGTAGAGTTCTGCAGATTTTCATCTTCTGATATGAGGTATTATTCAGATGAATACTGAAAAAGTTTTTTGTTTTTTTTCCAAAGGATGAGAAGGACTCACACTTGCACTACAACATGTCTCAGGCCTCAGTATGCTTCAAATACTTTCTGACATTAGAAATAAGAGCTTCACCTGATGCTACTGTCCAAAAAATAAAATGAAAATTTGATCCACCCCCTCACAGCCATTGGTTGGTTTGTGGGAGGTGGGAAAGTAAGCAGGGTTTGAACTTCTCTCTCAGAGATGATTATGAAAAGACAAAGAACAAATAACAGTGTTACAGTCTAAGTGAGTGACACGCCCCCTGCACACAAGATGATGATTTTTTTTTTAAATAGAGTTATGGTCTTTGTCTTGTCTTGGAAGTTGTTTAACATGAATTATAATCTTAATAAGATTCTGCTTACTTCTACCTTATAAGGGTCATACTAAGCAATGAATGTGACGATCATAATTCATGTTCAACAACTTCCTGACTTACTCTCAATAATCAGTAATAAGGAGGGAAAACTCTAAGTTAATGACCTATTAGCTTTAGACTATGGTCATGTAGAATAAGGTACTAATAAACAGCCAGTATGCTACTTATTAGCATGCTAGTAGAGAACTAGTTAATGATGAATATTGTGACTTTGATTTTAAGTGTTACCATAAACATTTAAATCATAGCAAATTCAAGGTAAGCCTGGGGACCCAGGATGCAATTCAGCTGGAAAAATCCAGCTTGAAATTTGTCATTTTCACTGGTCAAAAAGAGCAGAGACAATTTAAATGAATTCTCTCTTGAGAATGTGGGTCAGTTTGGGATGAATTTAGCAAACATGAGTCTGTGTTTATTTTTCAAAATGCAACTCTGCAGAGCTGATTCATCTCTCTCTGACTGGATTCTCCCCCAAAGCAATGGCCTCTGTCACTAATGGGCACTGAAGTATTTATAGCCATCTGTCGTGTCAAACTGACAAACAAACAGGATATCACAGAAGTGAAAACGTATAGGAGCATTCTCCAGGAGATCTCTGTGTTCCTATGATTACAGACAGCCATGATATTATTAATACTATATCATTAATGATATCATTTAAGGAACCATTTAGAAACGGGATAGCTTTTCTGGGTATTTAACCCGTGTTTACTTTGAAGCATACTGAACCCTTCATGATGTACTTACCTGCTCTTGTGTTTGTGGATACCGTTGAATAAAAGTGGCATCTTAGGTGGCAGTGTGTTACAGTGCTTAGCAGGTCTCCTGATGTTAGCGTGCATGCAGTAGGCAGAAATAGGAAAACGGGAGGAATGGGTGGAAGAGGAGAAAAAACAAAATGTGTGGAAAAGTTTTAATAAAGGGGATCAACTTATCCAGTGATTTTAGGATCTATGTGTGTACGCCTGTTATGAAACCCACAAGAAGAGATGTTGTTCAAACATCTCCGGCTCACTAGCCAGCGTATTTCATTTTCATTTTCCTTATACTAAAAAATGGAAGGTTATTTCCATGTTTCAGGACTGTTATGTATGTCTTCACAGCAGTCATATTATCTTGTGACACATTTCCAAACAGCTCCCTCCTTGCTAAAATCACTGGCTAAGCTTGTGTTTTTTTTTTTTTTTTGCAGTGTAAGCAAGAAGAACTACAGCAGCCCATGACAGGCGTACAAGCAGCAAAAGGCAGCTCTCATCTCGACAGACGAGATTAAAAACACCCATCTCCCTCAAACACATCTGTGTGTATTCAGAGTACAAACAGAAAATGGGACCAGTTTATTATGTTTCCATCAGACGTGTGTGTGGTTATACAAGGAGAAGCCTCTAATAAGACAGACAGATGTGTTCTTTAGCGTGGTACTTACCTCTTTGTCTGTGTGCTCACATGAGACCCATGCAGAGATGAGTACAGTATACATGATACCCAAATGTAAAATGACATCTCAAACTATATTTAGTTATTTATGCGAGTAAAGAACAGAGACAAGATGTGGAAAACTTCTTATCAAGAGGAAAATATAGAAAATTAAGATTTGTTTCATTTAAGGAGCTAAATCGTATGAATGTTTGCATTAAACAGGAGGTGAACTATGTTTTTTTTTTTTTTTAACCCTAGGAAGCTAAACTGCTGACACTTTTTGTATCATAGCAGCTTCATTACAGCTAGGAGTCATGTCAATGATTACAAGCACAGTCCTGTAGTGCCCTCTTGTGGATCTTACTCAGCATTGCAACTGAACAAGTCCTCCTTTTTTGCTGTCTTTCCAGAGTCTGATCTACCTTCTTATGCGTCTCATACTACCCCACATTGCTTTTTTCATATCCAAAATGGCAGTAAACATTTATTTGGCCATTTATTAATGTCAACAAATCCTGTGAAAACATCAAACCCAGCATTGTATTGATCCCGATATAAAGAGATGTTTGCGTATATTGGGATATTTCCAATTACTTTCTCGCAAATAAGTTTATTAATGCCAAAAGACTTAGCACAGGTTCTGGTCTATGTTTGCATTGCTATGGTTGCTTGCTGCTATTAATCACACCATGTCTCTTTATCTTAAAACTTGTCACTTTGCCACAACTTGTATAAACCTCTATTATTTATCCCCTCTATTCTTACTTGATTGTATTTGTTTACCTCCTTATTTTTGAAAACCTGAATTTCACCTCTAGTCAATTAAATTGACTGGGCCCTTCCAGGTCTCAGGTGTCTCTGCCTTGTGTACCTGTACCCGCCCAGCTCTATAATACCACAGACAGAATCTGGTCAGTTTTATATATTTCTGGTCTAGGGTCTAAGAAAACTACCAAGGTCCAAAAAGGTTTGGGTCAGTCATTTTAGACTAAGGTTCATTTTGGGGAGTTGTTAGAGAGGAAACTGGGGAGAGAGAGAGTGGGGAACGACATGCTGCAGATCGGATTCAAACCTGGGTCGCCTGCTCGGAGGACTATAGCCTTTGTACATGGGGTGCACACATAAACCAATAGGCTACCGACCCCCCTCATTTTGGACTTTTTAAGATGTCTTTTGAGAACACACATACTGTACTTGATTAAGACTCATTCCCACTTACTCCATCCTGCTGCCCTTCAGTACACACTAGAACAGCCAAAGCGTATTAATCCGCTGTTAAAAGTAGTCCCCCTCAGATGCACTTTTTACCACTTGGATAAAAACAGCACTAACCATTTAGCATATTTTTTTGTAGATAAAAAATCCACACATTCCTGACCACTTTTCATACATTTATGAAGAAACAAAGAGTGTTAAGATATTGAGAAGTTGAACAATACAGATAACGATGAGATATTTTCTGAGGATTTGTTGACCTAAAAAATCTACAAACATTTGCCATCATTATTCTCGGAGTCCTGTTTATAATGTAGCTTCTACTTGAGTGTGTTTTGATCCCTTTATCTTTAAGAAAAACAAACATTATGTAACTTTAACTCTCTGTTTAAATTTTAAAATTGTAAACATTAAAGTCAAAGTAAGAGAAAGAGAAGGACAGTTTTATATATTGAAGCTCCGCATATATAACACTACTACTGATCCAAAAACAACATGTCGTCAGAGGCTAGTTTACCTGGTGTGGAGGCACTCAGCACTTTTGCCTCGCATTGATTGGTGGATCATGATGACCTCACTGTGGTTACCATGGAGATGGATGACACATGAGGAAATCAACAACAGTCAAAAATCCAGAAGAGCAAAAGGAGAAGAAGGTGAATAGGAAAGAGGAGCTGTTGCTGATTGCTATGCACGCCAGACAAACCCAAACAAACAAACACACACACACACACACACACACACACAACACACACACACACACACACACACACACACACACACACACACACACACACTCACGCAGAAATGCAAAAGCTGTTTTGCCTTAACACAGCTTAAAGTCACTTTATACAATATGAAAACCAACAAACAGCTTCTGCTCCAAACTTGGTTCAAGAGCCAAAGAAAGCAGCCGTTAAAAAGGGAAACTGAGAGAGAGAAAGGGCAAGGAAATGTTTTTTTGGAGAATGACAAGGGTAAGCAAAATAATTTAACCTTTCTGAAAAGTACAGTTAAAGCAAATGTCATGACAGGCATTCACACTCTGCGGCAGTCACACGGTTTTGCACAATAAATCTGCTGTGTCATACTAACTGGGCCACAAAGAAGCTGTCAATGTCACACACCAGAAAAAAAAAAAGCTCACAGTGAGAGAGGGACATTTTAGGAAAATCCTGGCGACATTTAGAATAATTAGATGTATTACAAGCAGTGCTCAGGAACAAACACACACCTGTCATCCAGGTACTCCTCCTGGTGGCGACCTCGGGGAGCATCGTGGTAACGGGTCGGAGAGCGAGAACGACGAGTGTAGGGAAGCTCATCATCCAGACTCCTGAAAGAAAGGAGTGAAGGAAGACAAAAAAAAGAGGACAGAAAGAAAGAAAGAGAGAGATAGAGGAACATTTACGTCAGGTTGGTGGTCAGGCCGTATTGCAGCAGACTCTTGGTGGGGCTCATTTGGCTCAGATAGTAAAAGCAGAGCTGGCAGCACTGTGTGTTCTGCATCAGACAGACATTTCATTAGTAGATGGACTCTGTTTGCTGGCTTCCAACAAATTCCTCCTGCCTCCCTCTGCCATGTTGCTTTTACCTCTTACATTGTCTCACTAATGTCTTCTTTCTAGTCTGACATTGGCCCCCAAATTAAAATCCATCATCTGACATCAGGCCATGCTGCCAAAAAACTTCAAGGGGAATTCCAGTAATATTTAAACATGGTTTATTTTTATATAAAAAAAATCATCATCATCATATTTGGGGTCAACCGAGTGCGTTCATGTTTTTGAATGAACAGTAAAGAGGACAGATAAATTTTTAACTCACAAATGACAATGTGAGCATAGTTCACGCTGAACGCCCAGAATACTGTTAGTCAAAGTCAGATAAACATCACCTGGTATGTGTCCAGACATGGCTTCATCTGTAGAACATCTCAGACCGGAAACTTCCGATGAGTAAACCCGGTTCTGTTTGGGTTATTTTTTTCTATGATGAGACTTCACTGCGTTTTCACACGATGCTTTTATTTTGAAATTGTTTCTATGACAGTTGATTACTTATCGAAGTCACTTGTAAAGCTGTTTATCTCTGTCTTGGAGATCTTTCTATAACATCTAGAAGCCCAATCCCTGAAACCCGTCGACTCAGCTGAAACTATCTCTATATTAGGGGGCAAACAGCCTCTACAGTGAAGAGTGATTAGTATGTATATTTTATTTTATTGACATATTAATTATAATTTACAGTTGAGCACAGGCCTCCTCACCTGCTCCTGTATAGAATCCATTCTTAAGATATGTAGAAAACCAAGACATTTGTTTTGAGGGGGAGGGGCTTTTGTCTTTATTAGATAGGACAGCTGAAGAAAGACAAGAAATGTTGGATGGAGAGAGGCTGCAGGAATGAGGACTACTCGTACATGAGGTGCGCAACGTAACCGCTCGTCTATCCGGCGCCAAAAAAACAAGTTATTTTAACAGTTTATAGTTAATATGTGGAAAAACATGTGAGTGATTTATGCCTAAAAGAAAAGACTCTCTACAGAAAAAAAGTAGTTTGGTGCAAGTGAAATGAACGAGAACTATTTCATTCTTTAACTAAACATCTTCAAAATTAAATATTGGGAACTATAAATATGAACTACTATCTCATTTAGAGCTGTGTGAACTGAACTTTAAGCTAGCTCATTTTAAGTGTGAACTTGCATACCATTACATGCAGGAAAAAATCGATACAGCATAGTATTGAGATATTTCGCGAGCCGATATTATATCGTCTCATGGTCGCCAAGTATCGATATTATTATTATATTGATAGCAAATATGCTTTTTAAATTTTTAAATTGCTGAAGGGGTTGCACAATTAATTTTGAACCCGTTGTGTTACTGCCATTGTTCAGTCGTCCTGAGTGTTTGTGTTCAGTTAAGTTCGATTAGACTGAAATAGTTAAGATTATGAAGTTTAAGCTGTTTAAGTTGAAGCCTTTTTCAGGGTTTTACTTTAATCAAAATGTTGGTCAGTCTGTGATCTTGACCCATTGTGTATAAATATGATTTAGTTTAATTTTGTGGACATAATATTCAGTAAAAAAGAAAGTTACATCTCAATTTATTGTATCGCAATTCTCAGCACATCAAAAAATGTTGAAAATCACAATGATATCGTATCGTGACTCAAGTATCGTGACTCAAGTATCGTGACTCAAGTATCGTGATAATATCGTATGGTGGGTCCTCTGGTGACTCCCAAACCTAATTTAGGGATCCTTTCTATTACTAAATCAAACAGAAAGAATGACTATCTGAGCCTGTCGGGGGGAAACACAGCCACTTTGGTGGATGTACTTTGTTTCATTCTCCCTGAAAGATTATTCAGCAGTCACTGAAACCTCACTTTGCTGCTGGTTGATGTCATAAGCACTTTCAAAACTTTTTTATACCTATTGGTCATTAAGACCAGAAAAAAAGAAAAGTCATGTTTTTGCAAAATACAACATTTTGGAGGAAACGAGACAAACTAAACAAATGCTGCAAAGATGACACGTCCAAAAATGATCAATGTTGGTATTCATTTAAATCACAGCTGAACTAGAAGGGTCAATTTACACATTTACTAATGTTTGATGTATATTGGATACTGATTTCACATTATTATTCAAAATAATTAGTGTAAAAATGTTGCACCTTTAATATAAAGATCTTGTCATATAGTTTAACCCCTCACCTCTGAGTGGGAACGTTGGGCGGCCGTGACCTGATTCGCCCCTGCTCCTCTCGGTGCGGGGAGACTGAGCGGGAACGTATGTGATGGGCAGGCGTCCTCTGCTGGTCCGGCACTTCCAGGGTAGACGAGGGCTCCCACTGCCTCTCCCTGCCTCGCCCGTCTGCTGCTGCATGGGAATGAGCATGCACATGCACATAGAAACACAGTCGTGAGTAAAAGTGAATGAGTTCAAGTGGATCTTCTGTAGATGCAAGTAGGTGCTTTAACATCCTTAACTCTGGCGCACCAGCTATGTTTATGTTAACTCCTAAGTTGGACTGTAAATTATAAACTAGCAGCTTTCAGTAAAAATTCAAAACAATCATTAAGCACTTTATAGTTGAATATATTAATTAACTATAAAATATGTATAACTGTGTTTATAAGTGACACACAAAATGTAGGACATGATGCTTGATGCTTTATAGATGAAGAGTGAAGTATGAACTAAGATTAAAGGGGAAACGTCCCAGCGGAGTAAATATTGCGTCTGAAAATGACTCTTGTTACTTTATTTTTGACAAAGATATAAGGGACATTGATATTCAGGAAGTACAGAGCTCTACGGTTAAATGATGTATTCAACATGGAAACAAACCAAATGTTTACGTACATTTTTAAGGTAGAGAAGGTTTTTGTTGTCTGTCAATATTCAGTGATTATCTACCTTCTAGTTTTTTGGGGGGCTAGGGGCAGGGGCGTGTCCAGGGGGTTGTCCAGGGCTGGCTTGGGCCCCGCTTGAAATCTGAATGGCCACCCCAGGTGCCACCCCAAAAATCCTAAACTGTGGTTATTTGGTTATTTGCCTTGTCAGAGAAAAACGACTATTCAGGCTTTTTCTTGCAAAAGGTTAGGGGATAGATGTAGATTTCAATACAAGGTTTGGATCACCTAGACTTCTTGCTAATTGGTTAATAAGTCAAATATATGTGACTAGACAGGGCTAACTAGTCCTACCATCGTTTACATTTTAACACCTAAGCATGGTGCCCGATGGAATTGAACATAATGAATGACATCTACCTCAGGATCCACGATGATACAGACTATTTAAAGACTAGTCTAATAATAGAGCTGTTGCTGACAGTTTTTTCATTACTGTGTCCTGATATCTTTTTTAAATACGGTTAAAAAAAAGTCTTCCTTTTGGTGTGCAGATCAAAATATAAATAGACGGACTGATCAGCCTTGAAGGGTTCGAGCGGCTGTGTCAGGCTTTGTTGTGGTCCCAAGGTTACTGGTTTCATTTCCAAGAGAAGAGCATCTCACAGCTCACAGCGGGCTCTAAGGTTTTTTGCTTTAGAAAGTGCCACTGAGGTTTTTCATTTATTCCTGCCATGCATGGAAATTAAGACAAAAAGTTGGTAGAAGTAAAGTGGTGTCTTTTTTTGTTGCATTCCTTTTGTCTCTCCTTTTTTAACGTAGGTAATAGTTAATGTGAAACAATCGTAGCTCTCCACTGATGTATCTGATATTCTCTGATACATGGCGTGTGATAAAAGTCTTAGAAAATGAATTCAGACCGTCTTTGATTAACCTATGGGCTTATGAGTGGAGATAAACTGAATCCATTCACCTGATTCTTACATAACTGGAGTTCAACCCGGATAATTTAGACAAACGATCAACACACACGTGCACGATTTAAATGTTGTATAACAAACAAAAACATAAATCTGAGTCTTTTTTTGGTTTGATTAATCACCGTATTGGCCGGTCTGTAAGATGACCCCTCCCCCCTTTACCAGTCAACGTGTCTCCCCCGTGGCAGCCAGATACACTATATATTTTTAGAAAAATACTTTTTGAAGAAAACTATTTAATTTACAAATAAAAAAATATACAAACACATTTAATTATATAATGTACCTTGTTGTTTTCACCTGTTAAATAAAAATATTTTTTCTATATCTTTAAGGATTAAATTGTCATTTTTCAGTGTCTCCTATAAGTGCCAACGCATTTAAGGAGTAACTTAACAGAAGCCCTCTCTCTCTCTTACTACCTACACCTATAGAAGTCTGTACAGAAGATGCACATGGTCCGAGAGTTTACCGATCTGATACGGTTAAAATGCTGCATCGATCATCATTATCTTATAATTTGCCTCATAACTCTGCTTGAATTGTTAGTTATCTCGACCCACTTTTCCACCGCTTTGTTCTGTATGATCACCGTGTCTCCCCCCCTGGCCCTGCAGCTGTGAGTGACAGCTGGCCTCGGCCCTGAGAGGTACACTCATTATACCGATAAGCAGCCCTGTATATTGTTGTGAACATATGTTGGTCATTTAAAAGTCTAGACGTTGAAAATAAGGCGACCCCAATTTTTTTCACGGGTATTTCAAGTTTTTAAAATAATCCCTGTGTTATATTTGGGTCAATACCATAAATGAGACCTGAGTAAGAGCTCCTCTGATGAATGTGTGAGTGCTTCATGGAGCCTGCATGGTCATCCCCCCATGCAAACATGTACCGTAATATGTGACAAGCCAGTGTGCCCCATACTCTTGTTTTAATTGTGGTGGTCTGCCATACAAAGTCTATTTTTGTCTATGTTTGTTTTTTTTAATATTGGAATGTAAATGTTACTTTAAAAGGGTCCGTTAAGTTTAAAGCAGGAAATAACCCCATTCAACTCGCAGGTCTGTCAAATCTCAGCACTTTCTGTTTATATTTAGCTGCAAAGTTGTACACAGACCAATGCAAGAGAAACAATATGGAGGGCTGTAAACTTTGCAAACAGAGTCTCATTAGATCTTCCTTGTTCATTTTTCACAAGTTTGTACCAGGAGCAGAGGTCTCCTCCTTTCTGAAGTAAAGGGAATCTGTAAGGAATACATTTTGGCTCAAATATTTGTTACTGCGACTTTAAACTTATGAGTACAAAGCATCATCCCCCCCACCCCCCATTAAACACCACAAATAAGAGTTGGTGGGAAACACTGAATGTGATACTAGAAAATAATCCCCACCCACCTTTAGACATTACTGCTGTACCCTCATCAAATTCAGGCTCTGTTACACGTTGAGAACCTACACAGTCATAGACACAGACACAGACACACATAGATGTGTATTCACACCACGCACACACACATACGCATGATGCATCAAAACACAAAAGTGGAATAAGGGAAGGGTTGCAAAAACAGACATTAACACGTACATGTTATATTTGGTCGTATACAAAATCCTTTCACTCTTATATAATAAAATATGCATTCACACACACACACACACACACACACACACACACACACACACACACACTCACACACACACACAGAGAGGATACAAAGGAGCTAATGCAGAGATAAACACAGCTACAGGTGGTCATAGACTTACGCTGCAGCTTCTTGCCGGGGGTGTCTGTGTTTCGTCGGGGTAGATACGGGGAGGGGCGGGGCAGCGGTATGGATGAGACATCGTGCGTTTGGAGTGGATACCAGTGAGGCTTGTCGTCCAGTAAGGCCGTCTCCAGCTCTATTAGGATCTGCTCAAGTCATAACCCACATCGGAATTAAATGTCTTCCTTCTGTTAATGACTGCTGATTGACAGAAAATGTTTAGTACAATATCTTCGCTCTACACTTCCTGTTTCTGATAGAAGGTAAAAAAAAAAGTAGTTATGTAAAGTTCTTTCATATTAGATGGGAGGATTGTCATGCTTTTACAGAAGCTCTGAAAGGGAAGAGGGAAATACATTCTAGTGATCCATTACTCAGTCTGATCCACTGTTGAACAAGTGGATAAAAAGTCTTTGACACCAACATTTTTATATTCTGTGCAAAAAAAAAAGCTTTCAAAGGTCAGGGGGCTTTTAATCTGCGTGTCCATGTGTATGTGTTTTTGCAGTACCTCTCCCATAAAGATGCTGTCTTCCTCTGGTGACCTGGGTTGGTCCCATATCGTTAGCTCCAGCATGTGGTTGCGGAAATCCCTCCGATGGACGTGACTGTAGACAAACGTCTGGTTCCACTTGGGCTCACACGTCTTTTTCATTGTTTTTGTTCTTCGTTTGCTCTTATCACTGTTGAACACCACAGATACTGAGCCAACCAAGTTGACTAGGGCTCACCTTCGCCGCCCAAATTCTCAATCACTTCTTCACACAGCATGTCAGAAACCACCATGTTGATTTAATTGTTGATTTTTTTGGGGGGCTTTTTGAGCCTTTAATTGAGAGATAGGACAGTGGATAGAGTTGGAAACCAGGGAGAGAGAGTGGGGAATGACATGCGGGAAAGGAGCCACAGGCCGGACTCGAACCCGGGCCGCCCGCTTGAGACCACAGCCTCCATACATGGGGCGCACGCCCTAACCACTGCGCCACCAGCGCCCCTTCATTGTTGATTTTTAACGCCAAGTCTGCAAGATATGGCTTCATGAAGTAGATAACATTACTCTACTTCCAATGCTTTCACCCAGTAGTGCTTAATGCTAACCAGTACAAACTCAGAGTATCATGTCAAATGAAAAATCAAATGTAAAAATCAGAAATGTTTTAATGAGGTCAAGATTCTAGGTCAAAGTCATTATACATATAAGAGATAAGGATGCACTGATGCATCAGTTCAACAGCTGTGTGTGCTGATATTAGCCCTGTTAACAAACATCGGCACATCAGCAAATAACGTGGCATTAACCGATGTCTGTCGCCGATGTTTACTTGTTGTACTGAAGTCTAGAACACTTAACTACTGATACAGAGAAGATGTTTATTATGGACAGATGAAGTTGCCTGTTGTACAAACTCTGACTTGTTTTAATTCTTAGTCATGAAAGAAAATGGTGGCATTGTGGGAGTCTTACACCAAAATAAGTTATCAAACAAACATCGGTATCAGCCATGATTTTCCCAATCAATGCATCTCTAACAGGAGATGAAATGAACTCTATTTTTGTTTGGATAATTGTGTGGTTCTGATTAATCTTAATTCATTTCTGATCCCAATCAGTCCACCTAGAATGCCTTTAATGCAAAACACAAATGCAGTCTAATGTAGATAATCTCGGATCAAATAACTCCCTATGAGTAGGGGTTGACATACCTGCGGTCAGGGAGAAAGTACATTTTTACGTAGGGGCTTCTGGGCCGTCCATCAGGGCGAAGACAAAGATCCACAGCCTGCATCACGTTGACGATTAGCTGATGACCCACTTTGTCGTACCAAAGCTTCACCTGGTTGAGAAACACACAAACAAACCTGATGCTGCATCTTCCTTTGTCACACCAACAGCTAAACTCATACTCATAGCGCACACACTCACTGAGAGCTGCCCCGGCATTAACTGGGGAGCGTCTTGGAGCATCCCGGGACTGGAGGGAGACAGGACATTTAAGGATGGTCTCTCCATCTTCTGGGATTCAAAAGAACTGGAACCTGCTGTGTGGACAGAAGGAGGAAATTGGATTTGAAATATCAGACAGAGAGAATAAAGTTTAGTCCAGAGTCAGGGAGAAACATGACAACATGAGTGGTGTTGGGAAAAAGGGAAGAAATAATCAAAGGACTGAGACGTGTGTTTAAATGTATCCAAACTTTTGGTAACTCCACAGTGAGCATAGAGCATTTCACAGCTAACTCTGGAAACAGTACATAGGGGGTTATCACTTCAACCTCTGCAAGATTTCGGGTTGAAGGTGAAACGTCACAGGGGCTTGACATGTCAGTCTGAATAAAGTTATAGGCTCTGTTTCCAACACAATCATACACAAATCCTGGCAATCCCAAACAACAAGGCTGGAGGAAGTCATCAGAACAAACAGTTGTTACATTACTGTGTGTAATTTGAACCTCAGAGGTTTTGATTGAAGAATCTTTGCTGTTTTGACTGAGCAAGGCTCAAGTCTAAATGCTAAATTTAGCATCTCTAAGCTATTTTAAGAAAAACGAAAATGATAATCTCAGGGGCTTCACATTCAATCAAACTGCACTTTATTTAACCTCTATGTTTTTATAATGCATTGAACATGTAAACTACGTAAATGTGTGTGAATGAACCACTGAGTATATTTGTCTGTGTAGGTGATCACACAGGAGATACTTACTAGATTCTAATGGAGGGTGGGACGTGTCTGGGATTCTTGGGATATCACTGGAAAAAAGAAAAGGTGAAAAAAACAACAATGTCAGTGACTCTCGTACTGGCACATGACCTTAAAAATAATTAAAAAGTTAGTATAATTCTTGATGCACAGGCAGGCATGCAATAAATATAGTCTACTGGAGAAAAGTAGCACTGTTATTAAAAGTCGTTAGGAGATCAAATGCTGTGTGGTTAAAAAAATTGAGCATCAAAGAGGAAATGTGTGCAAAGCCAAGTTCTTCTCATATCTGCAGTGTTTCCCAGACTCATTCAGACATTTTTACGGTCAATCATCGTGTGGAATCAAAAGAAATGGGAACCAGTGGTTTAATTATGAACACACCACCACCTTTTCTCATCCACCACCACCACTACAATGACGTTTTATTGATGGGAAACACCAGAATCCATTGCACCAACTTCATGTTAAATATAGAAAGCATGATAATCTGTGGAACACTTATCAGTGTAATTTGTCATTTTAAAATCAAAATCCAGAGCGTGTTCAGCATTTCAAATCAGCAGCCAGGCAACTGATATTTGGAGGGGGTCATGCTGATGTTTGTTTGAACACTTCTGGAGGCAGTATTTTAATGCTTTTCAGACCAATGGGGCAAATAAAAAGGTAAAACGTTTCCTTTGAAGCAATAGTTCAATATTTGGTTATTTATGCTAGGTTTCTTTATTTCCAAAGGGGTTTTTGGACACAAGTGAAGTAAATATTTTACAAGCCAAGCCAAGCTATTAGGGCATCAAGCTTGGCACTTCTTAACCGTAAGTAGCATGAAGGGGCGGCACATTTACCCCAGGGACAGTCGTCAATCAGGGTAAGGGAAGACCAGGGATGTGCACGACCAGCCTACCTGTCACCCTCACTAGTCGGAACCAGAATTATTTATATTTTATATCTTGGACCACAATGCTGGTTTAATGATGTGCTTAAGCTGTAATGCAGCCACATGCCACTAGCCGGGGCTGTAGCCATAGACTGACTGAGGCGACAGCTAATGGGCCTTCCCTCATCGCTCCACTGCCCAGATTTAAACCAGCACAGTGAACAGATATTACTCGTAGGACAAGCCCAGTTTGGCAGAATTATGATAAAAAAAACTGAGATAAAATGTATTTAGACTGTGTCAGGTTAAACTGACACATCGACCAGAGAAATGCGTAACCACAGTGAGCACAAGCGTGTGGGAGGACCCGGACGCCAGTGGTGCTAGCACTGCAAACATTAGACTCATGTGGCAAACCTGTTTAACATTGTTCATTTATAACTGTACAAGATATGCTTCCCCTCAACTTCAATACATTTTGCCCAATTTTGACTGTTTTCTGAGCTTTCCTTACCTTACAGTAGTCAGCTAGTCACTTCAAATTTCTGTCCAACCAAACTAGGAAATTAGTGGCGAGGGTGAAATTCCTCAAAGTGGGATACACCTCCAGTTGATGTTATGAATCCAAAAAGACTGATATTTGTTTTTTTTGGAAGGCTAATATTCAAAGGTAGCATTAGTCCAGCTTAATTGCTTCACTCTTGGCCTGAACACAGCTTAAGGGTTAGATGAGAGGTGGAGTCAGGAGGTCATTAGCCTAGCTTAGCATAAAGCTTTCAAGCAGCACTTACAGTATGTGCCTCACATAAAAACAATGAATAAATATCTATTTTCTATCTTCACCCTTTAAAAGAAATCCCCCAAACGTATCAACAGTTTCTTTGTCTTTATTTTAAACTTTTGATTTGAAATGCAAATTTCCAACTGATAAGTGTTTCATGGACCCTCGGCTGCCTTTGAGGCCATTCCAAAACCAAACAGTTTAAAAGGGTAAATGAAATAAAAGAGACATTGCTTGCTTCATGAATCCCCAAACTTTAAAAACAAAGGATTAGGAGTAAAGTCAAATAATCAATTCTATTTTAACACTGTGGGAATTTTACTTTGGGATCCTCAGGATCTACCAGGAATGGAAAAAAACAGGAATTCCAGATGCTGCAAAACAATTTAAAAGAAAAAAAAAGCTTGCAAAATAAATGCTACATTGATGGACATTTCCCAAAAGGCCATTTTGCATCTCTTCAAGTGAACTTAAACATAATAGGAGAGGACACATTGAAGTTATTTTGCACAAAAGCCGATACTTGGATTGGTTGGCATTTCTACCAAACAGGGTTCAGTTCATTTTGTTTAGGGATGCAAAATGGCACCAGCAAAACCAAAATAGTTTCCATAAGCGTGAGAGGATTAAGGGGTCCTGTAAAAAAATTCAGATTACTTACTGATATTTTCTATACACCCTTCGTGAGTGTTAGGAGAGAAATTAATAGATTCAGCTTTTTTCCTCATCAAAGAGCGTGTAAGGTCAGATCTTAAGAAAAGCTTGAAGAAACAGGGACAACTGAGTCTAATATAATCCCTTATAATGAGCTAACTAAACGCCTTTAAACAATCATCATCATTTCCTATGAATACAGTAAATATCACATCAGGCTTTTAAACAAATAACAGCCAGAGATAGATTCATTAAGACTGATTAAGATGAAGGGAAAATGCTGAATTAAGTTATAAGGCTGATGATCTACACATAGATACTTCCTGTCTGGGTGGAGTAATGAAATACTTCCCTTAATAAGCTGCTCCACCACTTAATTCAAATGAAAATATACACTTTATCAAGTTTAAAGGCCCTTAATAAGCCAGTAAAGATTACATTTCATTAAAGCATCAATCAATGTTTCCTTCAAAAAAGAATGCTGTGTTTTCAGGATCCCTAAACGTGTCTTTTCTGTAATCACTTATGATGTGCATGGTTGAATTTTTACAAGCCATCAGCCTCAAGCATCAGATGAAGCCTCCTCTTGTCTTTTATGGCACTTGAAGCCTGTTTTATTTGGTCAGTAAACATTCACCTTATATCATCGTCGAAATAAACACAAGAGCTTTTTTAAGAGGGGACGTATGAGCAGGCGAAATGGAAATCTCCTGCTCCAAAACTTGGCAAGCAGTCGCAGCGCGTAATGGATGGCTATTTTTAATGTTTTGAATGCAGTCGTGATCAGAGTACAAATAAATGTCGCTGTTTCAAGTCTTATCTGAGGTCAGCCAACTCTGAGTCAGAGCCTCAGTGTGATGAATCAAGGGGTTAAATTCAATGAGGCATTCAGTGTGATTACTTGCTGAAAACTAAAGAGCTGCATTTTCAACAAATATTGAAGTACCACACTAACAATGTGTTCAGAATGAATTTGATTCCTGACTTACCCAATAGGCCTGGATACCACCAGCTCCACTTGGGGCTCAGCTTGAGACTCCAGGATGATGTTGTAAACTTCCTTCATCGTTGCCCCTGGTAACAGCTTCCCATTCCACTGCAAAACTTCATCCCCTAAAATAAGACATGCATTTAATAGAGGTTCAATATGTAATGTATCTAGAATACCAAGAAGGAGTGGATACTTAATGGGGTCACCACATTGTTTTCCAATTGCTACCTCCAACCTAGCTTTTGATAATCTAAAAACAGGGCAAAGAGTAGTCAGTAAATTTAGCCACGCCCCTAATTTAGTTACTTTATGAATAACTTTTTGGCTTAATAAGATCAAAATGGATTAGTTGTAGAAAAAAATTCTGAAATAAAAAAAGTTCAGAAATAAAAAAAATTCTGAAATAAAAAAAATCAGAAATAAGTTCTTTTTACCAGTATGCTTATTTCTGCTGTAAAGAAGAATTTTTTTCAATGAAGGACCTAAAGTGGGCTTTGGCTGTAGCAGTCAGCCTCAAGTGGACACTTGAGGAACTGCAGTTCTGCATTGGCTCATTTTCAAACAGCAGATGTTTCTGCTCTGTCAAACAGAAATTGAGCCTACTTCTCACTTGATTTATTATTGAGGTAAACACTTCCAAATGAGTGTATGGCTTCAATCGCTGGTTTAAGTCTTTTTCAATACAGCATGATGTTAAGTTAAGCCTATATGATGGCCCTGTTTAGCGTAAAACAAACAGGTGCAGGGTTTACTTTGGATGTGGCTACATGTGACTGACAAGTTGATTCAACACTCTGTCAACCAGGATGGAGGTGTAGCAAAGATTATCTACACTCTTTATCTTCATAAGGTCACTTCTGAATCGAAACTTCATGAATATGGCCAAAACGCCCAAAAACAAGACTTCATAAGTCACAGTGTCTGCATCGTTGTCTTATTTACTACCTTCAGAGGAATTTCTACAGACAGTGTGACAGGTGTGCTGCTTTAGACTACCTGCTCTGAGATGTCCCACCACGTCAGCCAGGCTTCCCTTCTTGACTTTAGTGATGAAGGCACCTAATCTCCCTGACTCTGTTATTCTGCCTCCCACCACCTGCACACACACACACACACACACACACACACAAAGAGTGAGGGAGAGAGAGATGAGTGTCATAACCATGATATCAGGGGAAGACAACATTTACTGAAGAGTATTTGTAAAAAAACATCACAAAGATAAATAAGCTTCATTACAGCACAATTAGTAATCCACTCTTCTATACATCTAAAATCTATTGAGCATAAAAACATTTTAAGTATAATAAAAACATGTATATTCTGACACTCATATGTGTCTCTAGTCCGTCTACACACCCCCCAACTATGAGAAAAGTCCATCCTCTCTGTCTTCTGCCTGCTCCACTTTTCAGTAAATGTGTGCTCAAACAGGCCGTTTGGAGATTTTCCCTTCATGACATCACAAATGGCAGTAGCCCCTCCCCCAGGTGGGTGACACTCCCACAGCTAGGTGTTTGTTCAGCCCTCTGAGTCTGCCTTCTCACCGTAAACTATAGGACATGGAGCAAGAAAGCCCACGCCATCCAAGCCATTCCAGAGAGGGGGTGTGGTCAGACACAGCTCATTTACATATTTAAAGGTACAGACACAGAAACAGCCTGTTCTAAGCAGGGCTGAAATAGAGGGGTTTATAGGCATGATCAAACACAGGATCAGAGTGGATTTAGAAATAGAAACTTCATAGACATGATTTGGGGGTAGCTCAGAGACTTATTTAAACTGGTTGAAGAGGAGGAGAAGATGTGACCTTTAAAGTCTGGCAGCATTTTTATTGGGAAATTTTTGTTATAAATGAAAAAGCAATTAAAGTACAAACCACAAGCACAAAAACACTGAAAAGTTATCTCATAGATAAGGTTTAGTTAAACACATTACTCCAGCCCTCTCAGACGCTAAATGTGTCAATGACCTGTGTGTGCGTGTGTGTGTGTGTGTGTGTGTGTGTGTGTGTGTGTGTGTGTGTGTGTGTGTGTGTGTCCGTCCGTTTGTGTGTTTTCTTGTGTCCACTTGCACCTTTAACCCCAGCAGAGCTCCAGCTTCTTTAGGCATGGTGGCACTCCTCTTGCTGAGGGTGATTCTCCCGATTAGATGGTCACCTTCCTTGGATGGTTGCCAGGTTACAGGATGCTACAACATGAGACAACAAGAGAAAGGTGCAGATTCACTAAGAGGACACAAAGGACCAGTACATACACAGCTTGAAAATCAGCTACAACTGGAGAAAACCATTTTAAATCATGTCTATAATAATAATATTAGCTGGAGTCAATGCTTTGAAATCCAGAGTTTTTCTCTTGGAAAAAAAACTTGCCCTGACTTAATGTGTCACAATAAGGGAAACGGTTTGTTAGCCATGCAGAGCACCATTTGAGCTGAACCTTTGTCGGTCACCCTGTGAGTACTTTTGTCTTGTCCAAAGTGTTGAATGCACAAATAAATTTTAGTTGAAAGAAAGAGTTTTGTATTTAAATACAGTGACCTCTGGTGGAAGGAGTTTACTAGTTACTCTCTAGTAACCTTCTAGTAAGGATGCTAATGACAACCTACTTTCTGTTGGCTTTATTGTATCTTATTCCCAGTCAAGAAACATGTTTCATTTTGTATTTGAATGTGCTCAATGTGACATGTTTTTAAATAGAAGAAGAAGATACCCTTTATTAATCCCATAAGGGGAGATTACTTTTTACACTCTGCTTTTGAGAAGTTCTACACACACATAGGCTGAAATACACATGCACTAACAAACAGGATCCTATGGACGTGCACTAATGGAGATATGTCAGAGTGAGGGATCGGCCGAGCAGGATCGGCCGAGCAGTTGGGGGTTTGGTGCCTTGCTCAAGGGCAGCGAAGTGGACTGGCACCTCTCCAGCTAGATCGGACAGCCCAATTTCCAGACTTGGTCTGGTTCCCAAACCAAGTCCCTACAGATTGAGCTTTTGCTCTTAATGTGACAAGTTCTCTGTTTTCAACCCTTTAATTCCCTTTTGAATTGATTTGTGTATGAATGGTGCTCTATTAATGAACTTGTCTTGCTAATATATCCCAACGTGAAACCTATGTTTCTATTTAAAAAGTAAACACAAACCCAGACTTATTTTACGTGAGTGGTTATGTCTCTTGTCTGATCTTAAGTGCACAGTTTATAGGTAAGGGGTTTGTTTACATATCTGTATTGAACAGAGTCAGGGTGGACACAGAGCGTCTGATGTTATGCAATAGTTGGAGTGTTGCATGTATCACCTGTCTCAAATGTTCTGTATTGTGTATTGTGGCTACTGAGGCATTAAAACCTAAAATGAGAAACACGTTTTTTTATTTTGCATTGAAGGAATAAGGTTGAACTGTCAGGAATTAAGCAAAAACAGTGGGAATTATGTCAAACTATTATGACACTACAGTTACATAAGAATTTAATGCATTTTCCCTCTATCTGACTATTACAGGATCACAGGATCATAACACTCAGGATCAAATGTTGCAAGAGATAAGAGCAGCATTTCCTAACAATAAATTAGCTCAATTGTGCAACCAGCTGAATAAAACACAACAGTATTTTTACAAAAAGGTCCTTAACATTTTTACAGTTGCAATTGCTATTGTGACTAGGAAAAACAAAATGAGAGGAGGGGAACACATTGAGTTTGCAATGTAAGAAAAGGGTTCAACTGTCAATAATTAAGTTAAACTATTTTGTGAATTAAGCCAAACTAAAGTGAGACACTTGGAGGGGGGTTACTTTGAATAGTTTTAGAGTAGTTGAGATCTATTTGGAGTAAAACATTTGTACAACAGCAGACAGGCAGTGATAGCTACCATCACAACTGTCAGAGAAAGAAACAGGAGACAACTTTGAACAGGAGATGAAGGTAAAAGTAAGAGACATACAAACATTAGAGAGCATCTCAATTCCCAAAAGGCTGCTACACCTACAGCTGAATAATAAAACCAGAAGTTAAAGTTGACATAAATAAAGGGACTTACATGCCATACAGTGGGGTCATGAGGGTAGCACTCCCAGTCACCTGTAAGAGAAAAGAGACCGGCTCAGATACTGTGGACGAACACGAGACGATGATTTCCTTCATGTTCCAAACATCCATTCACACACACACACACACACACACACAAGCACACACGCACTCTCTCTCTCTCACACACACACACACACACTCTCTCTCTCTCTCTCACACACACACACACAAACTATCTCTCTCACACACGCACACACACAAACACACACACACTATCTCTCTCAGACACACACACACGCACACACACACACTCTCTCTCTCTCACACACACACACACACACACACACACACACACACACACACACACACACACACACACACTCACTCACACACACACACACACGCACACATTCATAGAGCAGAAACTGTATACACAGCACATACCAGCCCTGAGTCTTCTCATACACAGCTCGGCCAAATATGGGGGCTCTTCAGAAGGTATTTGTTTAAAGTTTATTGAATATTCATTCCTGGGCTAGAATTAGAAATGTACGACAGGACTTAAACTGAAAGTAGTCCATTCAGACAGCGATGATAACAAAGGACAGATGAGACTTTTACAATGTGTTTGATCTAGTTTATAGATAACATGTTGTAGACTTTTGTTTAGTCGTACAGCCAAATAAAAACTCTGTGACAATAATGGACGACCTTTTTAAATATCCAGAATCTTGTTATGGTCGCAGAAAAGAAAAAACTGTATTTTAATGTTATCTTCCTACAGAGCCCCTGACGTCCCAAAAAATAAAAAGGATGTGCCGTCGTAATCATGTTTGAATAAAATAAATGATTGCATCTATCAATACAAAAAAAACCTTACATCTACAGTTTATATATGCATTTAAAGTATTCAAAACAATGCCTAAAGCTAAAATAAAATGTAGCTGTGTCAATAAAAAAATCACAAGTGTAAAGATGTTTTGTTTCTATATTCACAATGTGTCGGGTGTGACTTACGTGAGTTTATTTTGTAAAGTTTCATGATGAGGTACAATTTAAATATGTTCAAAAGATTTTTTTTTTTTAAATTGAGATCGCATTTCTTAAATTAAAAAGTGTAAAGGATTTTAAAGAGTTCTTTTTGATATAGAAATGTCAAATTTTTCCATCAGGTTTAAATAAAAGCCAAGAAAGGGAGCGTTAGTAGCTCTGATTTGTAATGAGTCCTGCTGACATAAAACAGATGGTCAATAGTTATATATGAATTCTCTGCTCCAATAAATAACCTTCAAGGTTTGTCCAGCAGGATCAAGCTCACTGTTTCTGAATTATGTTTGGTGTTTAAGACAATTTGGCAAAACAATCCCAGGTCAGCGTAACTCTTTCTGGGCCTCCCATCTTTATCATTTGGTCCTTTTTACAGGTTTTCACATTAGGCACCATTGTTTCGTACCTTCCCTGAGCGTGATAGCTCCTCCTCCCCTCTCCACTCGCTGGTCTGCATTCACATTAGTTATATCGTTCCGTACCCGAGTACACTCGCGTATATACACAGTCCCATACAGCAGGGGACAGTATGCACATAGTTGGATGGCAAATCCGCCAAAAAGCAGAACCATGGCAACCACTCCTGGGCGGAGTCCATCCTGCTAATCGTCAATGTTTTTGTTATTTCTGAAACGAACCTCTCTCTACTTCCACATCTATCGTGCAGCTCAATGAAACGGGCTCATGCTGTGCAGATACAAATGTTTTTGAAGTGACAGGAGATGTTTGGATTTACATCATATAGCGGTCCACTTCCTTGTTTGAGTACAGCTGCGTTAACATCTCCCACAGACCTACTAGAGTACATTGACTCGTGCCCAAGACCACCTCTTCAAGTGGACTACCTGGCACACTACCCAAACACACCGCGAGTACGGTGCGCTTATGTTCACACTGATCAAATGAACCGGACTTTGGGGTCAGCTACTCGGATCCTGGCCTGGGTCCCTATAATGTAAAACTCTCTCTAACTGAGTAAGATTCATTAAGTGATGACATTGTGATGAAGCTGACAGCGTTGGAAAAGTCTGGTATTTGAAGACTGTCTCGCTAATTGAGTTTCACTTAAACTTGATAGAGATCTACATCTCTATGTGTGCAAACAGAACCTGAGAACACATTTCTTCATTGACTTCTTTCAGTATCAACAATCTTTTTTAGGGAATTCTCAAGATAACCGTCACATTTCCCTCATGTCCAGCAGGAGTTTACAATGACACAAATATTTTCAGTGGCTCAGCTTCAACTCCTGTTTTAGTCCCAAATCACAACCTCCCTCTGCACACATGGGCCGGGGGGGCTGTGTTGAAATGTGTGCAGGACCTCAGCGACACTGTTATGACACAGAGTAAAGCAGAGCCAAGCGTTCCTAGGAGCCAGGAGGCTATGAGGTTAATGAGTTGTGACAACTTATAGTGACATTATGTAATCTTAAAGCAAACGCTCTGACGAGAGACGACCACGTCTCAGTTTCATAACCCGAGCGGGAACAGTGGGTGGGCAGCATGGGTGAGTGTGTGTTCTTGTGTTTCTACCCTTTACAAGCCCTGATCGGAGAAGAGTCACGACCCACCAGGAGTCACTTGCTGTGCATGAAGAGTCATAGGAGACGTTTTTAGGAACTGATTACTTTAAAATGTTCAATTACAAATAGTGCGTAGTATTGAGTGTGAATGATACCAGAGATTCACTGACTGAACATCAGGGCTGATAACAATAGAGATGTTTAATATGACAATATGACGCCCATTCAAATACTGATGCTTTTTTCTTTATTCTGAGTAATATCTGTTGTTTAAATAAGAAATGTGATTGGATGTATTTAAATTCTTGAAAGAAGTCTCTCCTCTTGAAATGTCACTGGAGCACGTCTTACTGTCTTTGCACACCAAGTCAGTTTTTTTCGTCCGTAATTGACGCATGTTTAAAGGCTTTATATGTGATATTTTGATCCAGCAGATGTCGCCCTTGAGTACCAGCATGAAACCAAAACAACTTGCACTGCATTGTTGTGTTAGCATGCTAATGCTAGCGATCTTTATTCTGCTCGTATCTTCACACTGCATTTAAATTGACCTGAAATGAGCGTGATCTAGAAACACAGTTAAGCAGTGAGTACAGTATGTTATTCTTCTTTTCTCTAGTCCCTCAATTAAACAACTTTTATACTCGAGGGGAGGAGTCAGCCGGCCGTCCCGGCGATGTAAACAAACTGAAGATAGGACTCTAAAAACTCTGAAAACATCACAGACAGTGGGACTCGGGTGTTACACCCATTGTAGACAGTCATGACTCACAGAGTTATTTTCAGAGGATATACCGTATTTTCCGCACTATAAGGCACACCGGATTATAAGGCGCACCTTCAATGAATGGCCTATTTTAGAACTGTTTTCATATATAGGGCGCACCGGATTATAAGGCGCATAGAATAGAAGATACTGCAGTCAAACGTTTGACTGGGGTTGCGTTATGCATCCACTAGATGGAAAAAGGGAATGTCAACAAAACAGTCAGATAAAGTCAAACTTTATTAATCGTTCTGACAACTCCGTTCACTCCCATGGTAACGATGTTCAAACGTTAATGTGTATATTAACAATATCTCCCAGCCTTGTTCACTCTTCTCCCAAACGTGGAGGGGAACTTTTCCCTGATTCAGTAAACACGTAACCGAAACAGTCTGATACCACTAAATCAAACGTTAGTGCATTCACAATAACTCAACGTTGTTCAAACGTTAATGTGCATATTCACAATATCTCCCAGCCTTGTTCAGTTGTAAACACGTAAAAGAAACACAGTCTGATACCGCTAATTCAAACGTTAGTGCATAACTCAACATTGTTCAGTTACGTATAACACATAAAGCTCACTTTTTCAGTTCATTCCCCGTCCACGAATCCCTCGAATTCTTCTTCTTCAGTGTCCGAATTGAACAGTTGGGCGAGTACGGCATCCAACATGCCCGGCTCCCTCTCGTCATTATCCGAGTCAGTGTCGCTGAGCGCCGTGTACAACCAGTATGGATCAACCAATTAACCAATTGATCCATATATAAGGCGCTCCGGATTATAAGGCGCACTGTCGTTTTTTGAGAAAATTAAAGGTTTTTAAGTGCGCCTTATAGTGCGGAAAATACGGTACTTGATTTCTATTATGTTTAAGTGTAAAAATCACATATAAAGCTTTTAAGAAGAAACACGATCTCATGTTATGTCAATCGTGTTTGCACATTATTTTTTACTAGAACAGATTCAATTGTCTACATTTTTTTTTTGCATCCATCCCTGTCCGTGGTGTATGCTTTGTGGAAATTGGTGGTGTTCTTTTGTGTGTTTGGTTCCAGTATAGCTAGCACTGTATCAATCTGGACCACTGACAAACACACCTGGAAGTGATCAGGATGATTCTGCAGCTCCTTTTCTATGACTCAAAGATCTCTTGTTTCATTGGTTGAACAGAGATGAGGTTCTCTTGTGTTGATTTGATTTGGGATGTTTTGTTTCTATACTCTGTTTCCTGAGAAACCCGTTTATTTCTCTCTGTGCTTACATAATCATGACACTACTGTGTGTCCAGCCTGTTTCTAAAATCAGGTTTTGTACTTTTTTCCAGGCTGATAGTACATGTCTTTAAACAGTTATTGACAGATCATTTACACGTATGCTCTTTCTGCCTGTAGTCATCCTAAGCAGACATTGACAAAGTGTTCTGATGAGAACAAGGAAGCGTGCAGCACCAGCCTGGACCCAGACCAGACATCTTGACATCCATCAAGTGGAGGTTTAGGGCGAGAGTGTTCTGTCAGGGCAGGTTTTAAACACACCGCTGTTGTAGCGAGGCGCTGCTTCCTTTTTTAGCTCGAGACTGAGTCCAGGTCAGCTCTGAGAGGTGGGTGCTGGCAGCAGAGAAGCGTCCAGGCATGTAAATCATCCCAAGATCAGTACAGGAAACATTACACACACACACACACACACACACACACACGCACACACACACACACACGCACACGCACACGCACACACACACACACACACACACACACAGACACACCTACACACACTATCTTTCTTATCCTGCAAGTTTTCTTCAAACACACTTTACATTTTGACTTCACAATGACGTGAATCTAATCCCAGAATTTTTCCGACCACATTTTAACATTTCTTTGCAGGTTTTTCCAGATTTTCCAGAGAACTTGACATCAGAGAACTCGGGTAGTAACTGGCCTTAGACTTTGGAGCAGTGTTGGTCTCATGTTGAGTTGGGGTATAAAAGTTGTGTCCTGGGTTGCAGAGGATACTGTGAGAAGCTAACAGGGATTTTGGCTCTACATGTAGCATACATCACGTTGTCGCATTCATCATGTTGGGGATGTCGGACAATTTTACACAAAGTTTGAATCTAGATTCTTAAAACCAGGCTGAAGAAGGCTCATGAAAACGTATGCTCATTTTGGCTGCTTGGTTTCCAGTCTTTAAGGGTCACTAAACCCCAGAGATTCGGCTAAAGTGCATCAACTCGAATTTCAAGTAGGCGGCGGTAGTCTGTAATCATCATTCCAAAAAGGGGAAACTGGAAGAGGATGAGGAAGAAAGCGGATAAGTAAACCAAGACAACAGGTGGAAATTATCTAGTTAGCTAAATCTGGTACATAGCATCTTTTCTCTTCTGAGACTAATATTATTTTGTGCATTATTCCTGATTCAAATAAACTAACAAACTAAATAACTCAAGTAAGGTATTATAACTTTTGGATTAATTTGTACTTGTATCATCACTATTAGGGTGTTGTTATGCTGAAAACAACTCTTCACCTGTGTCACTTCTCCTTAACAAATTGAATATTTAAAAATATTTTTTGCTTCTGACTACTCACAGCACTTTTACACTGCAGGTCACACCTACACATTCACACACTGATGGTAAAGGTTGCACACATTCATACACATTCATATGCCACCAACGAAGCAGCAGGGTTAAGTGTCTTGCCCAAGGACACATCAGACATGTGGCAGGAGCTGGGGATTGAACCCCCAGCCTTCCGGTTGAGAGACAACTGACTCTACCAACTGAGCCACAGCCACCCCAAGACATATGTGTGAGAGTACTTATTTTTCTGAAGTCTCTTTTGACATTTCTTGCATACTTACAGTCAGCTTATCAGACAATGATTCGAATCATATTTCATACTTTTACAAACTGTGTGCTGTTATCTTTCTTGTCAGGCTTCTGTTCATCCTTCAGTGTACTACTGGAACATCTCTCCTGCCTCTATAGTTCCCAGCCAGGATTATCTATTTGTAGCTTTTTTTATTTTTCCAGCACAGTTGCATACGTAGCAGTTCCTTGGAACTGTTAGTAGTTAAGCCACATACCCCAGCTTGGACATGACAAGGTTGGAGTGTAAACAGGAAAGTGTTCTCAGGCTTGGGGACATAGTTGGATATGTGAGGCAACACGATGTCAATACAGGGATCAAATGGGGTCAAACTGCCCCCCCACAACAGACATACTATCAACCAACACACATGCATACTTTGTGTGGGATCTCCCCCCCCTTCAAGGCCCGGGCTGAAAACAATACAACGTGACACACAAAACATGCAGATACACACACACGTTCACACACAAATTCATTATCAAACTCGCTGTTATGTTCTTATACATCATCATTAAGAGAGTTTGTTGATACTAATCTGGTCAGGTATTTTTGTGTATTAAAGAAACATGACATACACCTTAACTACAAAGTCAGAGCTTACAGTGGTTCAGCCAATCACAGAGTCATATCAGAGCTGTCTACCTGTTCTGATCACTGAACCCAGAGAGAGAGTGAAGGCAGCAAGCTTACATAAGAGAGCTCACTCTACTGCTTACATCCAACTCCCATGATTTAAAATTCAAGTGGAAGTGTATAAACACCATGTACTGTAAGTATTAATGGACCAAGCCCGAGTGACATCACCCATCTGTTCCTGCAGGGGGCTCCGGAGGCTCATAAAAAGTGTCAGCCGCCACGATGGAAATCTTAACTTTCAGTCAACCTAAGGACCTCTTTTTTTTAAAGATTTATTTTTGGGCTTTTTGTGCCTTTAATGCAGAGAGAGGACAGTGGACAGAGTTGGAAACCAGGGAGAGAGAGTGGGGAATGACATGTGGAGGGGGGCCACGGGTGGAGGTGAACCCGGGCCTCCTGCTCGAGACGACAGCCTCAACACATGGGACGCGCGCCCTAACCATTGCGCCACCAGCGCGCCCCAACCTAAGGACCTCTTGACGAACCGTTACATCGCGGCCACCTGTCAGTCATGTCAGCAACGCACCTAACAGATGCATAGCCCGGACAGTGTGTGCCCGTGAGGACAATAACTACTTAGACCAATATCGTTTTTTTGGACCAGGCTGTTAACATGTTTATTCTTGCTTTAAAAACTGCATTTTTAAATGTGGTGTGTATGTGACTTCCTGTGTTTCTGCAGCCAGCCTCAAGTGGACCCTCGACGAACTGCAGGATTTTGCACTTCCGTATTGGCTTCATTTTTCAACCCTGGAGGTTGCCGCTTGATAAACACCACATATTATTGCACTTATTTATAAAACTCGGCTCTAAACATCTGTGTCCTTTGCTCAAGAAAGTTGAAAGACCTCACAAAAATAAGAGAAGAAGAGAAGGCTCTCTTCTACAAATTGCATTTTTTTTTGGTTTCGGAAATGATGTCACCAGTTTTCTCTAATCAAAGAATCCAGCCTGACCACTCAGCTTGAAGACTTGCTGCGCCCTGAAAGGGTACTACCAGTCACTTTAACACTGGGACACTAAGACAAAGCGTATCATGTACACTGCCTGAGCACTCGGAGCGCTGGCGGCTGACGTTAAGTATGATGTGAGTGTGATGGTCCAGTGCCTAACAGGACATGTCAATCAAATGTCATATTGTTTTAGAATATGATCTGAGAGGTTCTCAGAGTTAATCTGAAGTTACTTCAAAGCACTTTCTGACATAAATAAGGTATAAGAAACCATCATAAAGTAAAGGTGAGAGGGAACATTTCCTCAGATGTCACATGTGATGGATGGAGAAACAAATGAATGAACAGACAGATGTCGATACGTCCCGTCCCTTCCATCGCTGATATCAACAACAGTTATTTCATGAACACAGAGTGATGATTTATATCGTCTCTCACCTCTTTCGCTGACACTTTCGATCTCAGCATCTTCACAGCTGCTGTACTCGGGTGTGGTACCTCCCTCCTCCTCTGAGCTGCTAATGCTGGTCTGCCTCTTCCCTCCGGCCCCCAGACCCCGCTTCGACTTGTAGGGCCTCGGCGGTGGCGGACGCAGAGATTCTGATTGGTCAGAGCTTAGTGAATCATTCCGCAGCATGCTCTCAGCCTTCTCCCTTTTGGTCCGTCTAGCTACAGGTCCCTGGCCAGGCGCTAAGCCAGGGCCTGTACTTTGGGGCTCTCTAAGTTCAGGAGGAGGGGTTTGCTGAGCAATGTTGTGTTCATGTGGCCCTCCAACCCCACCCACCGTCCTCTGACCAGGCCGCACGCCGTCCCCTACCTCCCCTACTACAGACATGCCCCGACCCTGTGTGGGCACAGGGTGGCCCCGGCCTCCAGGAAGGACCGGCCCTGCTTGGCGAGGGGGGGCACCACTGTGGTCCATGTTATGATAGCCCCCCTCTTCTGTCCGTCTTCCCACAGGATCATGCTCCAGAGAGCGTCCCTTTGACAGCCGCCGACCTTCCCTGCGCTCCCTGGACTCCCCCCTGAGGTCCCGGTCCATGGAGACCTGAGTCTGCAGTCTGGGCTGACGGCGCTCTCCTCGACCAACTCCCTTCCCATTTCTCCTGGGGGGAAATCAAAGCAGGGATGGAGAGGCAAACAAAAGTAGAGGTGAGAGTGGATGACAGACAAGGTATTTTATTTCATGCACACACATCAATAAATTCTCTGTTAACGTGTTTGTTGTTTAAGATTAACTTCTGAGGAAAAGCCTCCTCTCATCACCAATCGAGTAAGTGATTTTTTACATTGAAGGTCTGAAAGGACCTCAGACAGACCTCTGAGGAAAGTGTGAAGAACTCTTTGGAAAAGGAGCGTAACCGGTGCTACATTGTGTTGATTTCTCCTCTGACGTGTCACCTATATTTGTCAGCTTACGTGTCTCTCGGTGGTTCACTACGTGACCTAGCATCAGTGCCAGGTGTGGTCCCAGGCGCACCAGGTCGGTTGGGGTCTTGGATTGCGGGGGTGGATCCCGGGGGTGCTTGGGAGCGTGACCGGAGCTTCTTGTCACCTGGCGTTTGGCACACAGACAGCTCACTGACAGCTGAACCGAGGGGATTTCCAGCCGGACCGGTGAACCACTCGCCCGGCTTGGTCAGGATGTCCTGCTGCTTCCGGCAGTTATTACACACCCAGATCACCTGTTGGAAAAAAAAACCCAGCATAGGTAGAGATTACAATCACAGCTACACAAATTGTAATGATGAATATATTGTTCATAGAGTGACATGACATTCATTTACAGAACATAACAGAGGGTTAAACATTGTTTTCTGGGATATTTGCAGCTGGGTTTTTTTTCTTGATGCAGCCTGTAAATCCATCTCAACCAGCTACTTTCCTAACAAATAATCTAAGGCTGGGCTTCACTCAATCGCAGTGACAGTCAAACAGGAAATAGAAGAATGCACAGCCTAAAGAGCTGCAATACTGCCAATTAGTTCTCCAGAAAAAAAAAAGGCTTTTATGGAAGCTTTTTAAGATCACCATCATGGCAGTTCTACCAACGAGCAGCTTGGCTTTCAACTGTGGGCTGCTTCTGTCCTCCAAATGAAGCACACAAAGCCAACTGGATGATAAAAGGATATTGTACTCGCTGCCAAAAAAAAATATCTATCAGTCTCCTATCGTTCTTTTTTTCCCTATCACACATATGCACACGGACCATGCATAGGCTGTGTTCACACACTGGAGTTGTCAGGTTATGTAATTTGTGTGTACACAAAAATATAACGCTAATGATTCGTTTTTCATTACATAGTTTTGAAGGACAACCCAGGCACAGTTCAATAAGGACCACATACTCTATCTGATGCTAATGCCTTCGGCAAGTGATGACAATTTACAGCTTTACAAAACCTGTTTCAAATCTGGACGCTACTCTTACACATTTTTTGGGTAAATTCTCAAATAAGTACAAACATTTTCAAAAAGTGAGGGAGGGGAGAACAAGATGCTTCTTCATGTCTCTCTTCAAATACAGTACACCAGACTACATTGGCAAAAATAGCAATTGTATTTTGAACCAAGTCCTGTGTTCTGCAAGGTAAAATAACAGCTTTTACACAGCGTCTCATGGCTTTGTTTAAAGCAATGAAATGACTGAAGAAGTTAAAGGCAAGTGGAGCATTTTCAAAACTTTTTAAAGCTAACGGACATTTTAAAAAACATGGCATGTTTAAAATCAGCTTCTCCATCGATAAAATGTCCAATTTCCTTCAGCTATGAGAAGTCTAGTACAGGGTTTGTGTTTATATTTCATCTTCTTAACATCCTTCTGTTTCTGAACTGCAACCTTTTTTTATCAAGAGTATTTTTATGACCGAGTGTTTTAACTTTAACAACACTTGTGCAGAAGCTTCAGAAGGCCCAAATTTAGACGGCTTCAAACATACGCTCACAGAAATGCATCAAAAACAAACGTGACGTCTTTGATGACTCTTCCTCTGTGCACATGTCCTGTCAACATCGCTGTCGGCTCATATCGATGAGGGATGTGGGTTACATCCCAGAATAGATATGAGGATTCATCCAGCAAGGCAGAGCGGAGCGTGAGGGCCTGCAGTGTGAACGCAGTCATAGTCCTGTGTTGACATCAGTGCCAGAAGAGGGGATGACAGGGGAAGTGAAGCTGGGCGGGAAATAAAGAGACAGTGAGAGGATGGAGGAGGAGAAGAGGGAGGGTGGGGGGGTGGGGGGTTAGAGTCAGTCCCTCTCCTCCAGCCACCAGGGTTCTCATTACTCCTGAACACTCCCCAATGACTCTTTAAAGAGAGCTAAAATAAAACACTCTGGCATCGGCCATCTCCAACCCCCCCACCCCTCTTCCTCTACCCCTCTTTCTCACCCCCCTTTCCTTTCCCTTCCATTTCTCCCTCCTCCAGATTGCTTTTGATTAAAGCTACAAAAGCCGAGGAGAAAACAGCTTTACACCAACGCAGCTATATTTATCCTGCCAAACACCCCAGCACCACCAGGGAGAGAGAAAACGTGTGCTCAAACACACTTACACACACACACACACACACACACACACACAGAGCAAAGAAAGCAAAACACCGCCTCATGTGGGACATTATAGCTTTGGTAAAAACATCCACCAATCTGTGATTTTCTGCAGCCAGACCAACAAAGTGGACGGCTGCCAAATCAACACTGCAGTGCTAGTCCACTTGTTCATACATGTGCAAGGAGGAAGTTACGGCTAGCTGCAAGAAAGTCAAGCAGAAATGTAATACTCCTTGATTAATCTCCTGCATTACGTCCAACTCGTGAAATAAAAGGTATAAAACTTTACATTAAATTTATTACAAAAACGCTGGGTGTTTTTTCTAATCCACAGATATTGGCTTAAAGGGTAATTCTGGTATTTTTACCGGACCACCATATTTTATTTTGTGTATTAGAATCTTTTTTTAAAGGTTTGTTTTGTGGCTTTTTATGCCTATATTCAGAGATATGACAGTGGATAGAGTCATGAAGTCAAGGTGGGGAGTGGGTTATGACATGCGGGAAAGGAGCCACAGGTCAGATTCAAACCCTGGGCTGCCCGCTTGGAGGACTATAACCTCTGTTCATGGGTCGTGCGCACCAACCTCTACCCTAATTGTGCCCTAAGATTTTTTTAATTGATTTCTTTTTTAGGGAATTCGGTCAGAGTCAGACTGTAATTGCTGCAGTGTAATGGGGAAAAGCACCTACTTGGTCAGACCTGGTGACAAAGATTATATTGCAGCCATTGCAACCTATTCCTGGGCTGCAGACTGAGCTATGTACCAGAGCAATTCCTTGAACCCTCATGTCATTTATACAGTATTTAATCCAAATAGAAAAAGTTTAAAAATCCTGAAAAGGCTCTATACGCCCAGATAACTGCAAAACAAATCCCAGCGCTGGATGGAGCGGGATCTTTTGGGCTGTTTGTAAATAATTGATTTGTGATTCTAAATCTGACATTTTATATACATTTTTTTTATCCCTAATAAAATTCTGCAATCAGAGAATAATGTGCTTTTCACCACCCACTATGAGTAACAAATTAAAGCTGAGAAATGAAATTGTACAGCCATTATGCAGCTGCACAATACGAGGCAGGTGTGTGTACTTCTGAATATTCATGCATTTACCCTTTAAAGTAAAATATAGGTCTATATGTTTAGAGTCTTATAGTAAAAAAAAGCAAAGCCCAAAAGACACATTCAACTTCTCTGCAATTTAATCAGAAATCAGCATTTACAGAAAAAGGAACACATTATAAATAATTGTCCTACAATCACTTAGGTAGAAATATCTGAACATTAAATGTGGGTGTACAACAGTTGAGGGCTCCCAAAAAAAATCCTGCCATGCTAATTTTGGAGGGAAATATACTTGTAATTGAACTTCTTTAATTAACTATTCAGCAAATGTGAATAAACAAATTAATCATCTGCATTGAAAAATTAAGCATGATTTAAAAATAACCAGGAGAAGCCCATTTGCTAACAAAAGCTGCTTGAAATTAGAACATATCCCATGATTGGATAATAAACTTCTGATGCTCTTCCCTTTGAAAAAGCTACGCCCCAGCCTGTGAGCTCAAAATCTCTGACCATGCCACAGGGCATAGCAGTTCCTATGTGGCATCAGACACAGGGGCTCCTCGCAGATCTGGCACATCCAAGATGTCATCTGGTGCCTCCCCTGTGTTTTGCAGTGGCTGCACTGCATGCTCCCGACAACTTGGTACCATTTAGTTGGCTGGATGGCCACAGGAAGGTGCTCCCATGATGGCACTCTCGGCGTAAGCCTGTATCTTCTTCGCCTTTGCACACATCCCCTCGGTCTGTATCTCCTTCCACTACAGTTGCAGCAGCAGCAGCAGCCACAACTGCGTCTCCCAGAGACAGGTGCTCTATATTTGCGGTATCCTCTGGCTTTATATGGATGGGATGCAGCTGCTCGTCTCCGTCTCCACTGACTCGGGGTTTTAGACCTGCTCCTCGGAGCTCTCTGCGGAGGTACCGGTGTTGTTGCGGGGAACGGGAGAATGGCGCCAGAAGTTGAATGCAATTTCAGAGGAGAAGAAGGAGTGGAATAAAACGGGTTTTCTTCTTTTGGAGCAACAAGCTCATTCTCCCCTGGACTAAAAACAAACAGACAGGCAGAAATATATCTTAAAAACAGCCATGAAAAGACAGTCTGGTTCAACCCCTTTACACCCCTACAATTTATATAAAGAAGAGTACTCAAGCCATTAAGGCAGACAATAAGGTTACTAAGACGAACCTTTTTTTTCTTATTATTATTAATCATGTCCAATAATTGTGTTAGTAATTTATTAAAGTATATTTCAAAATTTAAGGGTTGTTGTCTGTAACGGTGCCCTATTTTAAGAAATGTTGGGGTCTCAATGACTCAGAGTTTTAGTGTTGATCCACTAGATTTATAAAGCCGAAAGCCACGACTCAGACTGAAGTGGCTTTTACCTCAGCTTCAGGGCAATTTCACTCACCTGAATAACTATGACACAGGTTCATGGTTATTATAAGGGTCTAACAACAGAACTGGTAGAGGCCTGACAGAGAAAAGGCAGACAGATGTTTTTTTAAAAAGAAGAAACTTTGACATTGCTCACTTGAGAGCCTCCAGACTTAATTGGCAAACCACAGACCAAAGCAGTAACCTGTCTGCTGTCCGTAATAATCAGTTTCTTTGTGTTATTGTTCACTGAACAAATATTGTGCTGCATATGAACTAAGACGCTTCCTCTTAAAGTCCTGCAATGACACACACACACAAACGAACAAATCAAAAGCCCAAAATCTCCAGTTTTCTGCTGAATTAAAGAACTGTTTTGACAATTGAGTTTTTGTGTGCGTCTCAGAAAGGAGTGATGTCATAGTTATATTTAATTAGAAAGTATTTTAAAAATAATTATCATTACATTTTTTGGTATCTAAAACCTAGCCCACCCTGTGAGTAGTGAGGAAAATTAAAGAAGTGCATCTCATGAATGTTAAGATGTTTTTGTTAAACAGTCTGCAGGTCAAGGTAACCAGGAAGTAAATATACAGCATAAACTCCTCTTTAGGTTACAAAGCCGTGATTTATTAATTACGTTAAATATTAAAGCTAATCCTGCCTTTAATGCAGAGGTAAGCACCAAAACATTACTGCTTAACACATTATTTATCATTATTACAAAACCCAAAAGACAGGTAAAAGATTTGACACACATCAAAAATTAAATGTAATATTTTGTTAATAACTATTTCATTATTTGTTACCTTAACAATAACTCAATATAGGCTACATTTTGCTGTGTGTACTACTTCAGTCTAGGATTAAAAACATGACAGGAGGGCTTAAGTGTAATGAAAAATGTAATGAATTTTTAGGTTTACAGAGGTTTAAAGTTTAAAGGCCCTCTAGCTGGTCAGATATCATATTAGTGATTGATATGGTCAATAAGGACTACGGACTATGGACTACACTTTTGTCAATAGCTGATCTATTTTTTATTTTTTAAATCTATTTTTTAGTATCTATTTTTTTTTGTACATTTTTAATTTTTCTTTTTTTTATTTAAATTGTAGTGTTCACTTTTTGTCTGCAATCTTTGCTCTTTGCTGCTGTAACAATGTAAATTTCCCAATTGTGGGATAAATAAAGGATTATCTTATCTTATCTTAAATTCTGAAAAATAAAGAATTTGGATTTGAATTTTCTGAAATGAAAAAGAAAATTAACACAGCTTTGAAAAGCAATTACTGTCATATTGTGAAATACAAACAAATATATTTTAATTATTATAAACAATGAATGTGACAGCAGAGAAGAAAGGAGTTAACTCCAGATAACTAGATTGCTGTTAACATATTTTATACCTCATACCTGCAGTGTGTTTGATTCTTCTAACACATTATGTAGGTCAACATCAATCTATCTAACCAGCTGCTTCATTAATCAACGACTTCAAACACGCCGACGATGAAAGTTAGCTTGTTAGCTTGTTAGCTCAGGTAGCTACAAGAATGTCAGGTGTTGAACTCACTCGTCCACGTCGGACTCCGTCGCTGACACAAGCTGGTCGGTGTCTTCGGGAAAATTCCACTCGGTTCTGCTGACGGCGTAACATTCCTCCCATGAGAGATTTCCGGTCACTTTATCCAGAAGACGCCACGACTCGCTGAAACGCCGGCCTGACATGTCGTCGCTTGAAGATTGGAGATGCGTAATGAGTGTCGGGTCTCGTATCTGCAGGTTAACTCAGTGGTTCCCAAAGTAGGGGTCAGGACCCCCTGGGGGCCGTGAGACACTGAGAGGGGGGTCGACATCCCTTCCATAACCTTTTTTTTTTTTTTTTAAATGATTTAACATTTTACATTTACCTATTATTGTGAAAATACATACAAACTAGTAACCTAGTTGACTTTATAATTTAGAGAAAACATTTATAATTCAACTTTATTTATAGGATTTATTCTGAGATGAAACTGATATGTTTGCAAATATCTGCAAGAAGGCAAGGCAAGTTTATTTATATAGTTGAGCACATTACAGCAACAAGGCAATTCTATGGAGTCCCTGAAGTCCAAAAAGTTTTAAAAATATATGTAGCCTACAGTATATCTTGTGTGCACAAGATATTCATTTGTGTGAATTTTATACTGTTTATACTGGGAATTCATTGGCTCCATTCAATTCCAAGTGCTTCACACAAGACATTAAAAAGCCTCATGACAAAGAAAAAAGAAACATTAAAATAGAAAATGTAAAAATCACAAAAAAATGATCATATGGGAAAGATTAAATATCCTGAAATAGGCCTTTAAAAAGAAATATCCAAAAGAAATAAAGAAATATGAAAGTGTAAAACAATAGCAAAAAATACCAGTATCCCCTATCAAATAATGCTACCAGAACAAATGTATAACAATTATATTACATTACATGACACTACTCTATATTGTCAGAGCATATAGTGTAGCATCAGTTTTGGTAGCCTATCTATTATTTAAGATTCGGGGGGAAAGCATATATCTATGGACAATAACCTCCTATCATATATTGCTCCAAGGGCGGAGTTTCTTTAGAACACCACTACTCTAGCAGTTCAGATTTTAGAGGAAGCACATATCGATATGGACGAAAAGCCCCTCAAATACTGTTCCCTTACTGCACAGTAGCACCTCTTGATGGGGAGCACTATTCAATAGAACACCTGTTCAACATTTTCTTAAATAACTTTATTGGAAATTTCATACAGACAAAACAGACAAGTACCAAAACAATGTGTACAAGACAAAAATAATATAACTTGAAGGAGATAGATTAAAGATATAGAAAAAAAACAGATCCTGCAAACAAGCCACATTGATGTACAGGTGTAAAAATACTAAACGCTTCTCGGCTGGTCAGAGGTTACTCCTCAAGAATCTCGCTTAAAATCTCTTCTGTTAGGCCTTCTTAAAAAAATCTATTCATCTAATGTATTGGTTAGGTAGCGTTTTCTAGTAACACATTTATAGATTCAGTAAGAGTTAGTTATCTCCTCTTTCAAGCAGTTATTGTGCCTCACCTTTGTGTTGATAGTGCAGAACAAATGGCCAGTGTTGTGGAGAGATGGAGTGGTGAGCTGTTATTTTAAAAGACACTCACTTAATCCCACAGTAATCCCTGTATTAGATCACACTCCGATGGTGAAACAAGCGCTGGAGAGGAGAATAGTCGGGCAGAGACGAGCATGGCTGCAATCTCGCACACACACACAAAGAATGGACATGCATGTTTGTGGCGTGTGCACGCTCACACAAATCCTTTACTGTACATGCAATCAAATTTATGCACACAAGCAGATACAAACGGCTGCTTTCATCCACACATACACAAACTGCAACAACATCAGCAATGTGTCACAGCCCCCTCGCCCCCTGAGATGAGTTTGTGAGTGAAGGAGAGAGCGCAGAGAGCGAGAGAGCGAGCGAGAGAGAGAGAGAGAGAGTATAGCTTCTCTGCAGATGGAAACTAGGACACCAAACCCCTGTGTGTGTTTGTTTTGCGTCCTGCTGCATCTGTGTGTGTGTGTCCATCTGTGTATGTGTCTATTCGTGTCTGTCATGAGGCGGGAGTGTGTATCCGCTGGAGTGTGTAACCGCATGTGTGCATCGTTGCTCATGTGTATGTGGTGCATTTGGGTGCATGTGTGTGTGTTATAAAGTAAAACAATGAATTATCCAGCAGTGAAATCTATGAGTGTGTGCAGCTTGGTGTTTGTTTCCTGGAGAGATGCAGGCATTTGTGTAATGTAAAGATTGTAATGTACATGAAACAATTAAGAGGTTCAATTCCCAAGCTCCTCTTTGGTGCCTGCGTTCAACTCAGTGTTCATATCAGTTTTCTCTTACTGTGTTTCAAGTGTTTGTAGCCAATAGCATTTGGAGAAAAAAAAAGTCTGATCCCAAAAGTCTGCCAAATCATCAACTAATGTTGACCTTTACATTATTGAGCCTGTTCTTGTTTTTCTTCTAAAAAAAACTCATTGAAAAAATCTTAGCTGGAAAAACAATAACTGTAAAATATTCAATAAAATGGACTGGGAAGCCTGGGGTGTTGCTAAGGAAGAAATAATGTTCTGTGAGGTGCCAGCAAGCCCCCCCAACATTAAAATCAGTATGTTATGACAAGTAGTACTCATTTTGTTGGTGCACTATGTTGTCAGCCTCTCTCTGTCTCAGGTCAGACCTGATGAACACATGAATAATTGTTTTAAATAGACAATGACCAGTGGTGGACAGTAACAATGTTATTTTACTTGAGTGCTGCACTTCAGTAAATTACTTTCAGTATCTGTACTTTACTTGAGTATTATTTTTCATTTGAACATACTTTTGACTCCTCTATATTTTCGATGAACGTTCTCGTTACTTGCTACTTTTGCTCTGCATTCAACTGATGAATTTTATTTTCTTATTGAAAGTCTTCAAAAGACAATAAACTGTGTTCATGAAGTTCTGTGTTTGGCTTGTCTAAGTGGTGTTGCCGTACCTGTATGTCTCACCCAAACACAGAGCAAACGTCACTCAGATCAGGCAGTTCATTGAGTGGTGGTAATCAAGTATATTCTAATTAATTAAAGCAAATCTTTCAATCATGTGAGTTTAAAAAATGTAAATGATTTTTTTTTTAAATAAACATAACGTAGCAGGATGTACTCACAAAAAGTAGTTTGAATGAATGAAAGAGCTCTCCCCATTTTTCAAGATATTTTTGCGGCCTTTTGCCTTTATTAGGTAGGACAGCCGAAGAGAGGCAGGAAATGTTGGGAGGCGAGAGTGGGAGACCACATACAGCAAAGGGCTGAGGTTGGATTCCAACCCATGACCACTACGAGTACTATATCCTCTGTACATGGGGCACGCAATTTAACCGCTAGTCTGACGACGCCCAAATAGTTAAGTAGTTTTAAATGGAAGTACTCCAGTACTTTAAATCAAGAAATAGTTTGACTGAGCAACTTTCACTTTTATTGGAGTAATATTTGACCAGGAGTATCTTTAGTGTGACACAAGTAATAAGGTGAGTACTTGATGATCAAGCCCGGTTCTATGAGTGTGCAAAAGGATGCATTGCACCCCCACTTAAACTTCTGCACTCTCAATTGTGAATTTCTTTTGTACAATAATTAATCAAGGCTTTCAAATGACAACAGTGACTCAGATCATGTTAATTACATCCATCTGATCTGATGGTCATGACACTGTCTGTTCACCAGCGACCACATGCAGGACCCATAACACCTAAGCTATTTTTCATTGCTGTTGCCGGTCACTGTATCTGCACCAACTGTAATCTCAGATGCAGAACCAGGCCTGTTGATGATGATGAGGTATATGGCAGTCTATGGCACTCACAAAAGCAGCGATTTAAATAAATGGAACAAGAAGTTGTCTGTCACTGCCCATGAAGTGTTACATGCTGATGTCACATGACACTCCCAGTCACCATGGTCTTCATGCTTTTGGTACAGGTTAGGCTTAAACACACAGAAGGCCCGCTGCCTACAATCACACACATTTTCCCCGAGGGAGGGGAGAGGAGTGTGAGAAAAGGCGGGACCAGGAAGTAGAATCAGCCAATGACAACTTGACGTATGGCACCGGCAGCATGCGAGGCGGGCGCCGTAACCGAGGGCGTCAATAAATCCTGTGCTAAGGATGAAAGACTGCCACAAAGGAGATTAGTGTCCACAGCAGCTAATGAGGTACTATATCAGCACAACCCGGCACCCGCAGCATTACACACAAACACACACACACGTACAGTACACACATGCTCATACACGTATAAATGAATTCACAGGCACTCAAAGTGCATAGTATTTGTACAATAACACATGGAACACTAGTCGGACAAGCAAGCACAATGCATGATGGGATACACACACTTATTCTCGCTCACATACAGTACGAATACTGTAGACAGGCGGGTCCTTTTTTGTCAGAGGGAACGTATGTTTTAACACACACACACACACACACACACACACACACACACACACACACACACACACACACACACACACACACACAAGCACACACACACACACAAGCACACACACTTGTGCATCTTTATTAGGTCAGTGGGAGGACAACTTTAGCTTGAGCCTCATTCTCTACATAAACAAACACAGCCTGTTCTCGCAGGATTTGTCTGTGGGTGTGTGTGTGTGAGAGAGAGAGAGAGAGAGAGGGAGAGAGAGGAGAGAGAGGAGAGAGAGGGAGAGAGAGAGCGCTAAGCCAAGAGTTTGCACTCCTCCAATATAAAAAAAAAGAAACACATTTAATTGTGTTGGAATCCTCCCTCCCGAATCATCATCATGTTTGACACTCACACATACAAACACACAAACACACCTGTTTTCTTAACTTACACTGATTTAGTTGTTCAGTCATGACACTGCACTTCCCTATTTTTACCACTGAATGTCTCTGGTTAGCAAACTGTAGCACCTTGCAATGTGAAGACTCACCTAAGTGAGTGAGTGAGGGAGAGCTTAACATTTCAATGTGTGTGAAATAGGAAAAGAAATCAAGGATGCAGTCTGTTGTTAAATAATCACTGTATTACATTTCATCTGCTCTGTGTTGTAAGAATAAAACAGAGATTGCTTTATCCAGTTTCCTTCACACACACTGATTCGCTACACTTCTTAATCACTTGAGTATCCCTATTAATAATCATGGACTTGTTTGATATACAATCAATTTACA